CCGGCCCAACCGCGGAGCCGCGGAGGAGGAAGGCTAGGGCAACACTTTTTGCACGCTTTGTCCGCGCCTCGTCGCCGTCCGGCCCTCGCGGCCCCACCGGGCTGGGCCCCACCGGGCTTGGCCCCACGCATCACGCCCAGCACACTCATTCCGAGAGTCGTCGCTCTGTCTCTCTCGCTCCCACGCGGGACGCCCCATGAGGGCGAGAGAGACAGAGCGACGAAAACGACCCTCGGAATCAGCGAGCCGCGCGCTCGTCCCGTGGAGAGACGGCCCCACAGTGCCGGCGCACGCCACGGCCAGGTCCGGCACACTATTTACATCCGATCGCCGTTTCGACACGGACCGCGCGACGCTCCGCGACAACAAATGTCACGTGTCGACACTGGCACTGCCGGCCCGCCGCGGCCCGCCGGACACAAGGGCGTATCTGCAGTGCGGTTTCCCGGTTCGCCGCGCCACGCCGTGGACCGCCCCATTGGGAAACCAAGTCAAGCCGCCGCACAGTGGGCCAGAAGACCGGCGGAGGCGGTCAAAAACCCGGACGCGTTTTGAGCTCCAGAGTCGCTGAATGGGAAGGGGCATGCGGGCTCCAGTGTATCGCCCCCGATCGGGCCGCGGGTCGGCCGGGGTCATGGGGGCGGCGACACTGTCAAAAACCGGGCCGCGTCGCCTCGCCCTCTCGCACTCGAGCGCCGCCACGAAGGGGCGCGAGGGAGGCAGAGCGACGAAAACGACTCTCGCCATCAGTCTGCTGGGGCTCGGTGGCCGCACCCCGTCGTCGGGTCGTCGTCGTGGAGGTGCCTGAGCCTCGCCATCCCGCCCCATAAGGAAGTGTCCCCAGGCACCGCCGCGCCGCGCTGGTCGGACCACTCCACTCCACCTGCATCTTCCTACCGGGTACACCGGGACACGCCGACGCGACGCGCGACGCGCAGACACGCCGCAGACACGAGCCGGGCGACACGTCTCCCCCACCCCCTCCCCCTCCCCACGTGGCTGGCACTCGTCGCGACCGGCGCGCCCGACGATACACGTACGTACTTCCCTCGAGCGTCATTCCTTTCCATAAACACTCCCCCTCCCCCGCCACCTTTGTTTGGGTGATGGAAACTTCGCAGCGCCACCCCAGCGGCGGCGCGACCGAACATCGCTCTGTCTCTCTCGCCCCCTCACTGGACGCCCCATGAGTGCGAGAGAGACAGAGCGACGAAAGCGATATGCAGAATCGCTCTGCAGGGCGGCCAGGGCGTTGCAGGAAGACGACGAACCCACGGACAGACGCATCGGCAGTGGCTTCCTCGTCTGGGCGGCATCGTAAAACATACGCGCCTGGCCGCGCCGCGCCCAAACCTCTCCCCCTCCCTCCTCCTCGCCACACAAAAGCCCCCCCGAGGCGCCGCCGCGTCCCGCGTCCGAGAGTCGTCTTCGTCGCTCTGTCTCTCTCGCACCTTACGAGACGCCCCGCGAGCGCGAGAGAGACAGCGCGACGAAAACGACTCTCCGGCTGGTGCCGCCTCCCCCTTCTCGGCTCAGCTTCTTGGCAGCGAGCCTCACTTTTACGCCGCGGGCCGCGCAGGGCAGGCGGCAGGGCAGGGCGGGCGGGCCCGCTCGCTCTGATTAGTGGGATAGACTTCCCCTCCCCCTCCTCCGCGCTAACTCCGAGCTCTTGGCTCTACCCAGGGCTGCCAGGGCCCTGGACCGCGCCCGGCCACGCCCCGGAGGGCCCAAAGGGTTGCCCGGGCCCGGCGGGCTCGCTCCGAACAGTGCGGCGTATCGTCTCTCTCTCTCTCTCTCTCCCTCACGCACTCACGGGGCGCTCCGTGGGGCGTGCGAGAGAGACAGAGCGACCTGGCAGTGTTCGGAGCGAGCCTCCTGGAGCTGAAGGAAAGGGCCTCCCAGGCGGCGGCGCGGCGGCCGGCTCCGAACCTCAACGCACCACGTCGTTGAGACCTCCTCCAGGACTCCAGGAGATACAGCGCGGCTCCAGCACTGCTCCTGCAGACCGATTCCGAGAGTCGTGCTCGTCGCTCTGTCTCTCTCGCACCTGAAGGGGGCGCCCTGTGCGTGCGAGAGACAGAGCGACGAAAACGACTCTCGGAATCAGTCTGCCGCTCCAGCTCTGCTCCAGCTCTGCTCCAGCGCCGACGCGGTCCCGGTTCCGCATGCTGCAGCACGCTGGAACGGGGCGGTTCTGGAAACACGCCGAGTATGCGGAGGAGAGCAGCGCGCAGCCAGCGCGGCCGGCGAGGCGCTTTCCAAGTGAAGCTGGGCTAGCGAAGCTGCAGCGCTGCAACGCTCCAGGAACTCCGCGCGCCACACCAGCAGCAGCAGCACCAGCAGCAGCAGCAGCAGCAGCAGCAGCAGCAGCAGCAGCACAGCACCAGCAGCAGCACCAGCAGCAGCAGCAGCAGCAGCAGCAGCAGCAGCACCAGCAGCAGCAGCACCAGCAGCAGCAGCAGCACCAGCAGCAGCAGCAGCAGCAGCAGCACCAGCAGCAGCAGCAGCACCAGCAGCAGCAGCAGCACCAGCAGCAGCACCAGCAGCAGCAGCGCGACGACGGGGCCCCCGGCGCTGCACGCCACCAAGGAGTGCTCTGCGAATAGCGGCAGGCGTCATCGCACTGTCTCTCCCGCGTCCCTCCGGAACGCCCCGCGAGGGCGAGGGGGCGACAGGGTGTGAGACCGATTCCGAGAGCCGCTTTCGTCGCGCCGTCTCTCTCGCACTCATGGGGCGTCCCGTGAAGGTGCGAGAGGGACAGAGCGACGACAACGACTCTCGCAATCAGTGTGCCGGGGCGGCCGGGGCGACGCCCCTCGAGCACAAAGGCGACGGTGTGCTGCAGCGCCTGCTGGCAGATTCCGCGCGTCGCCGTCGCCGCTCCCGCACTCATGGGGCGCCCAGTAGGGGTGCGAGGGAGACGGAGCGACGAGGCTGCCGGCCGGTCGCCGCCCCGCCGCCTGCTCGCACCTCGCCGACGTGACACTTCCTCATCGCGCTGCTGCTCCGCGCTCCGCACAACCGAATTCAAACGCCGTTTCGCTCCGCAGTTTACGAGCGCAGCCACGGCATGGCCTCAGACGCGTGCATTAGCCAGCGCCAGGCCAGGCCGGGACAAGCCGCGTCGGCCGCGAAGCCGCTACACCAGACCATGGCTCGCGCCAACTCTTTACGACCATTAGATTATTTCCCACTGTGGCTGCGGGGCGGGGCGGCACTGCACCGCGCACACACGCACCGAGTGCCCCTAGTGCCCCGTCCGTCCGTCCGTCCACCTGCCCGTCATTGTCTACCCGTCCGCCCTGCCTCCCCCTCCCAAGGCGCTGGAGAGCACCATGCACCACGCCACGGCTCGAGCCTATACGCCATGAGGGCCCACTTGACTTGCCGCGACCCAGGGCTCAGCAGACTAATGCCGAGAGTCGCTTTCGTCGCTCTGTCTCTCTCGCACTCATGGGGCGTCCCGTGTAGGTGCGGGAGAGACAGAGCGACGAAAACGACTCTCGGAATCAGTCTGCTGGGTGGGCCGGGCCCAGCCACTGGGCGGCTGGACCACGCGAGTGACCTTCGGCGGCGCATCTGCCGTGGGCCTGCAGTGCAGTGCCATGCTGCAGCGTCCGAGGGGAGGGCCATAGGGCCAGTCCTTCCGCTTGCTTCGCTACACTGTGAGCCGCTCTCGCACGCAGCCAGCACACCATAGCGACGCCGCACAAAGAGAGCGGAAGTGACATCAAGGGCCCGGCCGGCGCTGTCTCTCTCGCACTCGCACGGCACGCCCCACTAGTGCGAGCGAGATAGCGCGGCGCGGCACTGTTCGGAATCAGCCTGCAGTTAGGGCCTAACTGGCCTGGACGGCACGCCACTGTAGTATCGACGTCAGCGGACTGATTCCGAGAGTCGTTGTCGTCGCTCCGTCTCTCTCGCACCTCTACGGGACGGGCGGGACGGCGCACGAGTGCGAGAGAGACGGCCGACCGGTCCTCACGGCCGCAGGTGCGATACGCCGCACCGCCACCCAGGAAGTTGTAAACCGAACCGGGGTTCGTTCGCCAAAAAAGGCGAATCCGACTTGGAATCGAACCGCCGGCACTAGATTGGGCGGTTCATCCACAGACAGATAAGGGTTAAACAATCTGTCGCGAAATGGAACCGCCAACTGCGCGGAGAAAGTGGTTATCAAAAGCCCTCCTGCGTTGTTGAGGTCTCTGCCCATATGTCAAAGTTGACACACTCACCGCCACACCATTCAATGGCAAAAATAGACTGGCTTTGATAAGGCCAGAGATCCACTCAGGGGTTTTCATCAGAACTGAGATAATACCAGGTGGCAGGTGATAACAACATTTGGAGTTTTGCTTGTGAGGAAGTGGATAATTGCAACGCAATGTTGCAGGGTACACATTAGCATTCAGAGCAGTGGTGGCATTGGCAATTGCTGTGATGTGACACTCAACCAATTAGATGTCATTACAATTACTAGACCTGTTGGAGCATGAGGAAGTTTGCCAGAGGAATGGGCAAGACACTACACGCTACCTGACTAGAGTAAAAATGTGCAACAGAAGACAACCTGATGACAAGTCAACAGCCAACCCAAACTGCTTCAGTCCAACAGACTGACATTAAATACAACTATGAAACAATGGATAAACGCATGATGGTCATGGAACAAAACCATTTGCTTTTGACATTTGCCTACATGCAACGGCTAAATGATTGACATCCAAAGAACAATGACTGAATGAGTCAATGAAAAGAATGAATGAGCTCTGAATCGGAGCAACACTGCATGAGACCTTATCATGCGGAATGATACGACATGGTGAAAATAACACTACTAGTTTGGATGACAGGAGCCCCGCTGCAACATTGTTTTAGCACGAATGAAGCAGTCCATGGAGAGTGAAAGTGCTTCGATTCCAGACTCCAGGGGGACCCCAAGACTGCAACGGCTTACACATCTAAACTATCCTAGTGAAATCAAAGTGTGCTGTACTCACGGCTCTGCCTCGATGGATTTCAGCTTGGCCACATAGTTGGAAGGGATGTAGCCCTCCTGCTTGGTCGCCTTGCTGCGGGCCAGCCACCAGTCTCCCTGGGTGTCGTTGAGGATCTCCAGGTGCTCCCCCTTGCGGAAGCTGAGGTCCTCGTCGGTGCGTGCGTCGTAGTCGTACAGCGCCACGAAGATCTTGGCGTTCATGCCGGAGGAGATCTCTGGCTCGGGGATGGGAGGCATCGGGCCGTTCCTAACCTCGCGCACTGCGGGTTCGTGGGTCGCGATGGCCAGCGGCGGGTTGGAGGTGCTGGGCTGGGCCTGGTCCTTGTTGTTGGCGGCCGCCACCAGGCCCCCGCCATCGTTCTTGGTGGGCGATCTTTGGCGGCTGAAGCAGTTGCCCATATTGAGGCCTAGGCTCACTTAGGCCCTAGGGAACCTAGGGCGCCTGGCCCACAGGGATTGCACCGACCCGCTCGCAAAGGTGGACGGGGGGACACCGCATCGAGGGGTCACAGCACAGGGGAAGTTCGGGCACCAAACTAGAAAACGCACACACTCGCACACGCTTTAGAACACAAACAAAAACACGAAAAAACACGGACGCCGTCTGTCGAGAACAACACAGGCATCCATGACAGATGACAACTCACTTGGCTCGGGGGAGGGGGGGCGGGGAGCACGACCCGCAGGCCGCAACCTGATAGCCCGCGCGATAAGCTGGCGCCTGCGGGGTTTAAAAGGTGAGTCCACGTCCAAGGGGGAGTGTCAAACGGTCTTTAATGTCTCGGGCGACAAAAAAGATTCGTGTCTGTTCAGCCCTTCGCAGTTTCATTCATGTTTCCAACTTGTTTCGTATTCCCATGTTGGTTGCACTTATTTTCATGGCCGACGGGTCTGTCGTTGCCAACTGACCATAAACAAATATCACCACTTTCACCAGTTAAGTTCGGTTTGGAGAGGGTTTTGTGTTGCTTTTGTGATTTGCGAGGGGAATGAGACCTGTGCTTTTAGGTAATCCGGCACTATTCACGTTCGCGAGAATCTGGAGACGCTATCCTAATCGTACCGAGAAGTGATACAGTCTGCCTCGTGCTACGCCCTTCGTTTGAGAGGGACATTCAAAATCAAGGAACTTACCCATAGCTTTCCGACTCATCTCACAGGTAGTGTGTGGTTCAAATGAATAGGGAGGTCAAAGGTCAAGAAGATTGGATGATAATTCATTTTGTAGATAAAACATTTAATACACTTTCTGTAAAAAATGTCACAAGACATGAAAAATAGTACACACACAAAAATAATGGTACAACAAAATAAACATTTACAAACATTTGTCATCACGAAATCAGGATTTCTTTTAAAAATAGTACTTACGAACTAGAGAGAAACTTTAAAACTATAAATAAATACAACCCATCCACAAATTGAGGAAATGGCATCAATTTTAAAGATGGATCATTTCTCTTATAAAAAATAATGATTTGCTGATATACAATGATGCAAGATTGGAACTACCGTACATGACCAATGAATGAAAAATGATACAATAGTGTGCGGATTTGTTCAATGGCCAGCTGCTCACTTGTATAATTAAAATAAAACCTACAGTAGGAAACACGCCACAGGAAAGATGGTTCTTTTTCCTGATATGGTGTAAGAGAATGGTACACCCACGAGAAAAGGTACACCCATGAGAAAGGGTACACCCCTCAGGAGACTAATTTTAAATGATAATAGTAAAAAGAAGGAAAAACAGTGAAAACAAGAAACAAAGCCAATCACAATTTCTACGGTGTGCAGTGACATGAAACTCTTAGAATTGCAATTTTACATCAATAATGTAGCAATACCATGAGACAATTTACATGAACACTATTTCTTCCTAGAACCAGTCTTCTCACAGTGATCCTTCTCTGTTAAGATAGCTCTGTAAGTAAGAAAAACAACACTTAAAACTGTGACAGAATTTATTACATAAATCATTGGGAAAGTGCCATAATAAGATTATTGATGAATACTTGCCTCCTCTGCTATAGAGAAAAGTTTTTGTGCAGTGGCACCTCCCACCTGCTGCACCATTTTGAACAGATGGCCATTTTTGTTTTGCAGTAGTAAATGGGGATGATCAAATTCCTAAAGATAAAAATTTTTGTGTCAAAAATTTTTAATTTGGTCAGTGGAATTACTGTAGAACCAGAAAATACTTACTGCAACACAGCCAGCATCCATGACAAGAACTTTGTCAGAATCCATTATGGTATGGAGTCTATGGGCAATTGTAAGTACTGTACAGTCTCCAAATTTATTTCTTATCATCTTTTGAATTAGTTTATCAGTCCTGAAATAAAATGAGAATCGTAGGGGTTAATAACAAGGAAAAAATCCAATAATTAAAATGGGTCCATTTTAAAAGAATCTTACTGAGGATCCACATTTGCTGTAGCTTCATCTAAAATAAGAACACGATTATTTCTGAGAATGGCTCTTGCTAAGCACACTAATTGGCGGAGACCAACACTAAGATTGGATCCTCCCTCCTGTATTGGGGACTGGAGTCCGTAGCCCAATTCATCAACAACTCCCTTCAGGTCCGTCTGAAAATTTTAAAAAATTATTGTAGTTACTAATAGATTTCACAGATTTGATTTATTGACAATGGAACTTCCTTACCTCTTGAAGAGCTGACCAAATAGCATCATCATTATGTTCATCAAATGGGTCAAGATTTTTCCTCATCGTGGCATTGAACAAAACAGCCTCCTGAGGAATAATGGACAATTTTTGACGAAGATCATGGACTCCAATTGTTCCAGTATCCACACCATCAATAATAATTTTGCCCCGTAGTTCTTCCAATCGGAACAATGCAGAAATAAGTGATGACTTTCCTGCCCCTGTTCGACCAACAATGCCAACCTAAAAAAGAAAACTATGTAGTGCCAGACAACACATTTTTTATATTTTGCAGAAAATCATTAAAAGAAAAACACTTTGATGCATACTTTCTCTCCAGGGTTGATTACAATGTTGAGATTCTTTAGAACTGGGGGATCGTCTGAATCATAGTACAATGATAAATTCTCCAGCTGAACCCGTCCCTCCTTGGGCCAAAGGGGATCTGGCTTTTTATCTAATGAATAAAAATGATGGTAAATTAACTAGTGTCTTAAAGATAGGATAATGAAAAAATTTTGAATAGTAATTACCTGGTGCTGACTCCATAGGGGGCTCTGATGGCAATTTAGCATATTCCAGGACTCTTTCAACCGAAGTCATGTGGTTTTCAACTTCTGCCTCTTGCCTCAGTCCCCACTGCAGCATTCCCGTCAGCGATATTGCCTGTGTTATGGCCAAGCCCACATTCCCTCCAAACACACCTATTACAAATAAAATGTTAACTGAGGTAGAAAAAAAAATCACCTAATGGTTTGATGCATTTAAGTTTTCAGAACTGAGATACATATGCAGTACCTAGGTGACTTCCAATGAGAAATCCAAAAGTGACAGCCGTAATGAACACCAAACAAAGCTGATCCAGCCAATAACCAAATGCTCTGTTTGTAGCCAAAAAGAGATACCATGCTGAGGAATGTAAATCCTGTAAAATATAATTAAATAAGAAGCAAAACAAAATTTAATATTCAAAAATATTTTTTTCAATTTCAAAAATGACATGTTAACCTGATGATGATCAAATTCTTCAATTAATTTAACTTCCATGTTCGTCACTCTTAGAGTGGTCAGCCCGTTCAAAGATGCATTCATGTGACTGAAGACAGGACTCCGTGCTAAATAGACATTGATTAAAAATTAATTTTGTAACAAAAAATGTACAGAATCGGAAACAAACTTGTTCTGTACTTACTGACACCTTCAAGTCGCTTAATACTTCTAGACGTAGTCATGAATACATTGCGGATCAATAATCCAAGACCTGATACAATGGCCATTGGTATTATAAGCCAATAATTGATAAATGCAACCAAAATCATAATTCCAAGTAATTGAGCTCCAATCTGTCAAAGTGTTAAGCAAAAGAATATGACAAGAGTGAAACAATAGTAACCAATAAAAAACACAAGGAGGATAAGTTATTACCTGGAAAGCATCTATCATACACAAGGGCAATATTTCATCCACTGCTCCCATGTCCTTGGAAAATCTATTTAGGATGCGACCTGTGGAAAATCAGATGAGTGCTTCCAAAATCAATTTTTCTTTTACTTGAAATTGAAATTGTAGACAGAAAAATAGTTACCCGAAGTATTGTTGTAGAAAAAGCGCATTTTAGCATGTGTGATACTGGCAAACATGTCATCATGTAAACGTCGTGAGGCTCGGCAACATAGGTGGAAAAATAGGAAAGATCTGGCCAAAGTGATGACTATGGTGCCAAGGGAGATAGCTGTATATGCGTAGATGCAAGTTTCTCTTGAAGGAGGCCATTGCCTGTACCATTCCTCAGTTGCAGTGGTTGTTGCATTATGATTCACTTCTTCAACTTGCACCCTATTAGTAAGAACAAAAAAAATTGTTACATCAACTTAGGTAAAAGCTTCATTGGTGAATTTTTTTAAAACAACCTACCAAACAGTGATCCAATAATCCCCTGCACTGGCAAATAGTTGGCACCATACAAACGATGACAACACAAGAAAGACATAAAAGCAGTTGCCAGCAGATTTGAAGTAAGCCATGAATATATTCCAGCCAACAGCTCCTGAAGCACGCTCTTCAGGATCTTCTGGGTGAACATATTCCATCATGGATGGATCTATAGACTAATGAAAAAAAAAGTGGGAAATTACTAAAGGGATAGAATGATTCATGCTTCTAGATTCTTACATAACTTTATGAACTTACTGATCGTTTGGAGTCATGCCCAGAAACAGAACTCTGTAAAAGAAAAAATAAATTTAGATATTTCAAACATCTTTATGTGGCAAAGATTTAAAATTGCAGGAAACTTACTATGATGGACAGTCTTGATGGAGAATCCCGTTTCAGAGGAGATTTATGATTGCTGGCCTCTTCATTCTCTTCCTTGTTTCCATCAGTCTTTTCAGGGTCATGAGCCATACTGCCCAACAGGGAGTCAAGGCCCATGTCTTTTATCTCTAAATACGTCCCTTCAGATATCAGGTGACCCTACAGGAATGAGGTCAAAAGCCATGAAGTGAATTCAGAAATTTACTTTCCTATAGTTTACCTTTTATCACCATGAACTCACATTGTTGAGAACAAAAACACGATCAACAAAAGGAAGATACTGCAGCTGGTGGGTGACCAAAATACGAGTCTTGCCATGCAAGTATTTAGAGATACAGTCATGGAACAAGTGGGCACTAACATGGGCGTCCACAGCAGATAGAGGATCATCCAGAAGGTATATGTCAGCTTGACGGTACAAAGCTCTAGAAATGGACAAAAATTCAGAGAATATGATGAGACCAGAATACAGAAGTGCTAATATGGAAAAAACGGAGGCACATATACTAACCGAGCAAGATTTATTCGAGCTCTTTGACCTCCACTCAAAGAAACTCCTTTCTCTCCCACAATGGTTCGATCTCCTTGGGGGAACATGGCTATGTCAGCTTTCAAGGCACAAACATTTATCACCTCTTTATAGCGGACTGGGTCCATGGGTTCTCCAAACAGAATATTTTGACGCACCGTGGATGCAAACAACCAAGGCTCCTGGCCAGCATATGACACAGTGCCACCCACTTGCAAGGAGCCAGAGTCAAGTTGCAGTTCTCCCAGTATGGCATTAAGAAATGAACTCTGAAAAAAAAAAAGGAAATGAAAAATTACATATTTGCAAGGTAATTGAGAATAGACTCATTAGTGAATTGCATATATTAATAATTATTTAATTGCATGTATGCTAGGTATGTATCACCTTGCCTGCTCCAACAGGGCCAACAACAGCAACAAGTGACCCAGGCGCAATATTAACGGTGACTTCAGACAGGGTGTGTTCCGTAAGCTCAGGATCCCATTTTGCGGATGCACTATTCATAATTATTGCCCCCTCTTTTTTTAGATCGTTTCCAGTGAGGCTCTTAACTTCAGGAAGTAACATAATTTTCTGGAATGCAACAAATCAGTGAGACCATGATTAACTAACAATTTCACAAGTCACTATTAATCCTTACCTGAAGTCTTTTCACAGAAACTAAGGCTTCAGCAACTTGAGTTATCCCCTGAGGGAAAAATACAGTCATGTTTGCTTGAAGAATGTTGAAGTAGGCAGTAACAATAAAAACCTGGGAACAAACAAGGAAATTTTGTTACAAATAAGAATATTAATAACAATATTAGTGTCACAGTATTATGGCAGGGATACTTACATGTTTTGCAGTGAGTTTATCTCCAGCTAAGGCAAATGTTAACAATGCAGCAAAAATTGAAAACCGTTTGGCAAAGATAATAAATGAAACAATAGTTCCTCTGATGTAGTTGGTGTTCATAATTTGATTTACTTCCAGTCTGTGTGAGAACAAAAACAAAATTATTGCAAAATTTGATTTTTAAGAAGAAAACAAAAATATGAACACACACTTGATAGTTCTTACTTGCGAGCTATGGTGACCATTTTTTGAAATGGGACTTCCCAGGCATACATTTTAATGACTTGTATGGCACCAATAATTTCATTCATCAAGCGTACTCTCTCATCAGTACGCAGGGCCACTTTTAAACGGCACACAGATGCCATCTTCCCAAAGTATCCTGCGATATGGAGTGGAGAAAACCTCGATGAAATATGTGGACCAATTCAGTAGAATACACTTAGTAGCGAAACAAAGAGAGCATGATAGAAACCTTGCATGGGGGCATAGACGAGCAGTGAAGCAACTCCAACCAGAGCTGGCAACGTGCCTATTTCATAGATGAGGAAGACTGTTATAACAAAAGTTTGAAGAGGCCCAAGCCAGAGGTAGTGGATAAACAATACTGCTATATCAAACCTATTCACATCATTTGACAATAGGTTGACAAGCTGTCCAGGTGTCGTTTCTCTGAGGGCAGCTCGGTTCAGACGTAAGAGCTGAGGTCAAACAAAGACAGTGGTTAATGGACACTGCCAATGCATCATTGAATAAGACCACTTTTATTAATGCTAACACGCTTCAAACTTTACCTTACGGTATGCCAGTGAACATGTTGCTACTCTGACCTTCATACCCAGATGAAGAATGCTTAACATATAGGGATGCATTGTCCACACTGACAGTGCTGAGCAAACAATAACTAAGGTGCCATAGATGTAACCATTATATTCTTCATCTATATAGTCTTCAGAAAAATATGACACTAACCAACCCAAAAATATAGGTTGCATAATCCTGAAATAAACATTAGGTAAAATACCAAAGCTCTTTTAGTAAAATTAAATTTTAAAAACTGGGCAGATCTCTCACCTAATAAATAATTCCATGATTGCCAAAGGTATACCAATACAAATAAATTCATTCCCAAAACATCTCAGCAATGCTTTCAGTAAACTTGGTGTAGTTTGCTTCTCCTCTGCTTCTTTAACCACATCTTGCCAAATTCTGAAAATAATTATCACAAAATTAATGAATTACAATTAACTGGTGTGTGACAAGAGTTTCTTTCGGACTCCCATACCCCTCTAATTTTGCACCGACTATTCCCGACTCATGGTCTGGTAAAGGCTGAAATAAGTCACCCTCTTCGAATTCCTTCTTCAGGCCCTTCCGAAAAATAGGAAACGTCCACCTGGAACAAATTAAAATGAGAAGTCGTGAGACAGTTCGGATTGAGTCGACTTGGCCGAGCCGGAGAAGAGCGCCCGCCAATCGGCGGATAGGCAACCCGCCGGCAGCCGTGCCCAGCGGCGTGCCTAACCAGGCAAACCAGGCCGGCCAGTGGCCAGCCAGGGCCAGGACATGAAACAAGGGCGCCCTAGTCTCACGGCCAGGACGAATACTTACAGGAAGGTGAGATTCAGCAGGAAGTTGCTTTTGGCCCGCGGGTTGGGCTTGAGCGGCAACCGGTGGCCGCTGTCCATGGCGAGGCTGCCGACAGAGAGAGAGAGAGATAGATGGTGACGTGAGGCTGTCTCTCTCGCACCCCTACGTGACGCCCCACGAGTGCGAGAGAGACAGCCGTTCGAAGGAACATCGACCGGCGGCACGCTCGGTGCGATATCGGCGGGGCGGTCGACGGCCTAGCGCCTAGCCCAGCGGTTCTCAACCTTTCTCGGCTCGCGACCCCAAATTTGTAGCCAAAAATTTCCGCGACCCCCAGGAAAAGTTTCGCGACCCCATGGGACCCCTCCTTTAGCATGCCACTGCGTCTGATCCGAGCCGGGCATTTTGCTCCCTCAACGGGCAATTGGTCTTTGGACCTTCCTTTAGCATGCCTCTGTTACGGAGTGCGATTATCAGTCTTAGTTTGGGAGCAGTATTGTCTCAAAGTTGGCCAAAACGCTCAGAAATGTCTTTAAAAAATCATGTTTTGGGTCGATTTTAAGCAGCCACTGCGTCTGATCCAAGGCGGGCATTTTGCTCCCTCAACGGGCAATTGGTCTTTGGACCTTCCTTTAGCATGCCTCTGTTACGGAGTGCGATTATCAGTCTTAGTTTGGGAGCAGTATTGTCTCAAAGTTGGCCAAAACGCTCAGAAATGTCTTTAAAAAATCATGTTTTGGGTCGATTTTAAGCAGCCACTGCGTCTGATCCAAGGCGGGCATTTTGCTCCCTCAACGGGCAATTGGTCTTTGGACCTTCCTTTAGCATGCCTCTGTTACGGAGTGCGATTATCAGTCTTAGTTTGGGAGCAGTATTGTCTCAAAGTTGGCCAAAACGCTCAGAAATGTCTTTAAAAAATCATGTTTTGGGTCGATTTTAAGCAGCCACTGCGTCTGATCCAAGGCGGGCATTTTGCTCCCTCAACGGGCAATTGGTCTTTGGACCTTCCTTTAGCATGCCTCTGTTACGGAGTGCGATTATCAGTCTTAGTTTGGGAGCAGTATTGTCTCAAAGTTGGCCAAAACGCTCAGAAATGTCTTTAAAAAATCATGTTTTGGGTCGATTTTAAGCAGCCACTGCGTCTGATCCAAGGCGGGCATTTTGCTCCCTCAACGGGCAATTGGTCTTTGGACCTTCCTTTAGCATGCCTCTGTTACGGAGTGCGATTATCAGTCTTAGTTTGGGAGCAGTATTGTCTCAAAGTTGGCCAAAACGCTCAGAAATGTCTTTAAAAAATCATGTTTTGGGTCGATTTTAAGCAGCCACTGCGTCTGATCCAAGGCGGGCATTTTGCTCCCTCAACGGGCAATTGGTCTTGGACCTTCCTTTAGCATGCCTCTGTTACGGAGTGCGATTATCAGTCTTAGTTTGGGAGCAGTATTGTCTCAAAGTTGGCCAAAACGCCAGAACATGTCTTTAAAACATGTTCTGGCGTTCGGCAATTTGAGCAGCCTACTGCTCCAACCAAGGCGGATATCTCCCTCAACGGCAAATTGATCTATGGACTGTCCGTAATGCCTGTTAGGAGGCGATTATCGCTTGTTCGAGCAGTGTGCTAAATGGCCAAAACACGATTTTTCAAAGACATTTCTGACGTTTGAATTTGAGACAAACTGCTCCCAAACTAAGCGATAATCCACTCCGTAACAAAGCAATGCTAAGGAGTCCAAGACAATTGCCGTTGAGGAGCATAATCCCGCCTGGACAGACCAGTGGCTGCTTAAAATCGGCCCAAAACACGATTTTCAAAGCTGCCGACCGTTTTCCGGTCCACTAACTTGAGACAATACTGGCTCGCGCAACTAAGACGTCAATTTCACACTCCGTAGACAAGACTAAAAGATGGTTCAAAACCAATTGCCGGTTGAGGGGCGCCCGCCTCGGACAGACGCGTGGCTGCTAAAATCGCCCAAAACACATTCAAATTGACTTTTTGACCTTTGTAAACTTTGAGACAAACTGGCCAAACTAAATTGATAACCACTCCGTCCAAGGAATGCTACCTAGCGGTCAAGACCATCTGAGGCCGCACATGCCCGTCTTTCATCAGCAACATGGGCTCTCGCCAACACGACACAGCGACGAAAAATGTTCGGAACCACGGCCGATCGCTAGCTGGAGAGTGGTAGCACCGCCTACCGGCAGCGCGAGCTCCCCCCCCTGTGAAGAGACAGAGCGACGAAAAGATGCTTCGGAACCAGGCGGGGCCGAGCGGCGGGGTGGCGGCCCGGCCTCCCAGGCCACCCCTGTCGCTGCTGAGAGCTCGTAAATTTGCAAACGGCCTCGACTGTCATCGTAAAAAAAAGGTTGCAAAATTTTGTAGGAATTTGACTTTTATGTTTCCTTTTTGTACGGTCGCAAAACGTTTGAAAAAATGGAAAATTAATATTGGGTCAAATTTAAAAATTTTGGAGCCATTCGTCCAAGGAATTCCTGAGGCGAGTCTTAAGACTACGACCGCGACATGCGACCGAATTTGCTTCTCATTGATACCAATGTCAACATGCAGCAGCATCCCCCCCCCCACACACACACACACACACAAACAAACACAGCAGGCCAATTGCCACAGCCATTCGCTTAATTGCTGGCAGCAAGTGTACACATACACTCACTTACTCACTCGGCAGCGCGAGTAAGGGAACCCCAGTGACTTTCGTTTTCACACAAGTTGCGAGTAGCAAGTGCGGCATCCAGCTCAGCGCGAAGCTCCGCGAAGCAGCCGCGAACGATTCAGAAGATCGGTGTTTGCCGCGCTCCGTCTCTCTCGCACCCTTACGGAGAGCCCCATGGGTGCGAGAGAGACGGAGCGACGAATCGGCAGCGACGGCGGCGCTTCGAAGAAGTGCACTAGGAAGGAACCGCGACCCGCTGCCGAGTCGCCGCGGCAGCGAGTTGCAACCGCACGCGGTGCACCGTCAGCCGGTCGCTAAAGTCAAGGTCCGGAAAGAGAGGGGAGGGGGCGGCCCTCGAGCGGCGGCGGACCCACGGCCAGTAGACTCTTTCCGAAAGCCGTCTTCGTCGCTCTGTCTCTCTCGCACCTATACGAGACGCCCCACGAGTGCGAGAGAGACAGAGCGACGAAAGCGAACTTTCGAAATCGGTCTGCAAGGACGGTTCGAACGCGGCTTCGCCGTGGGCCGCGCCACGTGCTCTTCCAATCCATACACCCGTCCACACGAACGTCACGTCAACGCCCCCCGGCCCCCCCCCCCCCCCCCCCCCACACACACACACACACAAGCACTCACACATACACACAGAGTGTGAGAGATTAGCGGCTAAATGAGACAGCCGTCAGTTTAGAGCCGGCGTCAGTTTGCACAGACCGTTTCGGGTAAGAAGGGCTGAGCTAACAGGTGAAATGGTAAATGGTACGCAGGGCAGTGCGATGGCGGTACAGCGGCGCCCCGTGTTGTAAACGCGACGCGCGACGCGGCCCTCGCCGGCCAAGCCCTCGGCGTCGCCGCCTGCAGACTGCTTCCGAGAGTCGTCGCTCTGTCTCTCTCGCACTCGTGGGGCGTCCCGTGTAGGTGCGAGAGAGACGGAGCGACCAAGAGGTTTCTCGGCGGCAGTCTGCAGGCGCGGAGCAAGTCGCGCCCGAAATAGCGTCGCCTCAGCAGGCCGGTTCCGAACAGCACTTTCGTCGCTCTGTCTCTCTCGCGCTCGTGGGGCGTACCGCGTGTGCGAGAGAGACAGAGAGCGCCGTCCGCAGTGTGCCGCCGAGCCGCGGGCACACTGGGGCACACCGCGGCAGCCCTTTGAGGTAGGCGAGCCGCGGAAGTGCGGCGTCCGCGGCGGTCGACTCACAGTGGGCCAGAAGGCCGGTGGAGGCGGCCAAAACTCTAGACGCGTTTTGAGCTCCAGAGTCGCTAAAGGACTCGACGAACGGTGACCCACAATGAGTGCTCTCCGAACGAGGCCATGGGTGGGGCACACTTTCGTTCGAGTCCATTTGCGCCCTGACTCAAACTGGGCGCCCCAGTCTTCGGGCATGTGGGACTGGGTGTAGAACCACACGGCGGCGCGCTTCCGAGAAACGCAGCGCCGCTCAGTGATTCCGGACAGTCGCTCCACGCCGCACTCATGGGGCCTCCCGCAGGCGTGCCACAGAGACGGAGCGACGAGGCGATTCTTCGGGCCTCGGGCTCGGCTGCCGCCGTCGTCATCACTGAGTTGACACTACTTCGATCAAGGGCCAAGGGCGGCCGGCGGACTCATTCCGAGAGTCGTCGCTCTGTCTCTCTCGCACTCATGGGGCGCCCCGTGTGGGTGCGAGAGAGACAGAGCGACGACTCTCGGAATGAGTCCGCAAGCCGGGCGGCGGCGGCGGTGGCCACGCGCACTCTAATGTGTGTCCACGCCAAACACTCTGCCGCCATTCATCGTCGCGTCGGACGGCGTCACGGCGTCTCGCGGCCCATGGAGGGGGCAGGGCCCCGCGGGGGGCGCTAACGACCCGCAGCGGATTCACTCCGAGGGTCTCTTTCGTCGCTCTGTCTCTCTCGCACCCGCGCGGCGTGCCGTACAGGAGCGAGAGAGACAGAGCGACGAAAGAGACTTTCAGAATCGGTCCGCAGCCAGGCCACCAATTGGCCACTGGCATGAGAACGCAGAGCGCCACGGCGACACACTGGAAAAGCTTTCCTCCAATGCAGACGAGTCTCAGGATTTCCCTCTTCCGGACTTGCCGCTACAGTGCAGCTGCAGCCTTATTCCGAACAGTCTCTCTCACTCTCTGAGGGGGCCTGCTGTAGGGGTGCGAGAGAGACAGCGTGATAGAGCCCTATCCGGCATCAGGCTGCAGCGGCGCACAGTGGGCCAGAAGAGCGGTGGAGGCGGCCAAAACTCTAGACGCGTTTTGAGCTCCAGAGTCGCTAAACAGGCCTCGAACCGAACGTGTGACCCCACCAATGGATTCCTCGTTCGGAGAGCAATCCGTTGGTGGGGTCACACGTTCGGTTCGAGTCCCATTTAGCGACTCTGGAGCTCAAAACGCGTCTAGAGTTTTGGCCGCCTCCACCGGTCTTCTGGCCCACTGTGCGGCGGCAGCTCAAAGGAGTGCTTGCCCTGCTCAGCGTACGTCGGCAGGCTGGACCGTAGACCGTGGTAGTGCCGCGGCAGACGGTCGGCAGACTGATGCCGGGAGTCGTTTCCGTCGCGCTGCCTCTCTCGCACCTACAAGGCACTTCCCAGGAGTGCGAGGGAGACAGAGAACGATTCTCGGTATCAGACCGCGGTGCCGTCGGCAGCGGCGCTGTGTGTACACTGTGCAGCCAGGTACCGCAGGGCGTGGGTGGGACAGGGGAAGGGGGAAGTCGGTATTTAATCCGCCGGCCAACCGGGCCGGGTGTATCCCGTGTTGGCCCAGCGCAACCTCCCCCGCAGACCCCCGCCCCGCGCCGTGCAGGCACTGCCGGGGCACTGCCGGGGCACTGCCGGGGCACTGCCAGGCAGGTGGCCTTGAACGAGTGCGGGGCGGCGGGGCCCGCAGGCCGATACCGAACAGTGCTTCCCTCGCTCTGTCTCTCTCGCACCCCCGCGGCACGCCCCGTGAGTGCGAGAGAGACAGAGAGCTCCGTTCGGGGCCCCGGGCCCCGCACACGCCCATCATTGGCAAGGCAAGCATTGATCCTGGTGGCCGTCGGCCGTCCTAGTCGCGCCGAAGGCCCGGCCGACCGGCCCGCCCAGGGAGACGAGATTACAGTGTGGGGTCAACGGCAGGGAAGGGAGAGGGAGGGAGTGCCAACTTGACGGGAAGATTGTCGCCTTCGGCGTGTCCCCACCTCGTAATAACGGAGACCCGCGGCATGAGCGCTGAGCACAGAATCACTACCTTCAGAGTTCATTGCTACTTCTGGCACACCGTGGCGCGTAAAGCGCGTAAAGTTTGAAAATTGGAAGTTGCGGTCTTTGCCCTTGAGCGACGCGACAGTGTAGTGCTTCTATTCTAAAACCATTCAGCGGCGCACTCATCGCTGGGGGACTACACTGCCTCATTTGCGAGTTCTTTTCGCGCTGTGCGCATGGCTGAGCTGCCAGTCGACTCATTCCGAGAGTCATTTTCGTCGCTCTGTCTCTCTCGCACCCACGGGGCGTAGCGAGTAGCGTGAGAGACAGAGCGGCGAAAACGACTCTCGGAATCAGTCTGCCGACACCACATGGCCGGCGGCCGCATGTCCGACAGAGCAGACCGGCAGGACAAAGTCCTCTGCGGTTCACGCCTAGTCCCTCCCAAAACCACGACTCATGGAGCGAGAGCGGGGCGGGGCGGCGGGGAGGGGCCGTTTAATGTGGATGACTGTGGAAATCCGCGAGGCGCGCGAACTTTTCAAGGACGCGGACTGGGGCTCCGAATTCGCCGACTACGCCGGGAATCAACATGCAAAAAGACGGCCGGGCCGTCGACGGCGACGGCAACTGCGCGGGGCACGCGAGGGAGTCGACGGCGAAGCACGCGAAGCTGGCCAAGCAGACCGAAGCGATGGTCCCCGTGCCGCCCGGCAGGGCGATTCCGAGAGTCGCTTACGTCGCCCTGTCTCTCTCGCACCTATACGGGGCGCCCCACGCGTGCGCGGGAGACCGAGCGACGAAAACGACTCGGAACCTGTGGTCAGTGCCGCAGGACCAGGCAGGACACTGCCAGCAGGCTAGGCCTTCCCTCCGGCGTGCCTCGACCGCATCAGCAGCAACTGCGTAGAGAGCCCGCCAACCCCCTCGACAGGTGACACGATCGCTTTTCTCGTGGTCCCTTAAACTAAACCGACGCGATAATCCCCCCAGGCGTGGTTACATCGAGATTAATTTGGGGTCGACGACGGGTCCTCAACCTGGCGGCAGTCCAGACTCGCCTCCGGCAACCGGAAAGGATCCCGTCAGGGCGATCGCAAAGGCGGGAGCACGCCGTCGAACTACGCCGGCGGCAGCGTTCGCGCCGCCACACTGGGCAACATAACCTCTCAGCGGGGCGCCGCCGCGACCCCCGCGACTACGAATCGATACTAAATATAGACCGCCTAGGACATTGTAGGGCAGGGCAGGGCCAGAGGGCGCCTCGCCGGCGTCGACGGGCGTCGCGTCCACACGGCGTCCAACCAACTCACCTGGCCGCGCCGCAGCGCTGCGTTATCCAAACTGGCGGACGACGCGCTCTGTTGTTTACTTGCTGCAGCGGCGGCAGCGGTGGCGCACTGAGTGGGGGTTACTACCGCGCCACCGGCACGCACACACACACACACACACACACACGCACACGGTCAGCTGAGCCCGCCCTTTGCGCGCGGTGCCGCTTAGCCGCGGTGCCCAGCGAGCCGGAAAGCTTGCCGCCGTCCGCGTCGTCAACGCGGTGCTGCTTGCCCTGCTTGCAGTGCTGTGGCTGTGGCTTGCTGCTGAGCCCGCTGGCGTCGCTGGCGGTGGTCGGCGGCGTTTCGTCCGTTGGGAGTCCGTCGGCGCGGCTCGGCTTCGGCGAGCGAAGCGCGCGAACGGCACGACGGCGGGCAGAGCGGCGGAGCTGGCCGCGCGAAACGGGGAGCCTTCCCTGCCGCGCGGAGGACTGGCCCCGACTGGCAGGGGCAGGCCGCGGCAGGGGGCAGGCCCGGCCTGGGGCAGCCTGGGGGCGACTGACGGCTGATGGACTCGGCTACAGCGGCGTGGCGGCGCGGCGGCACACTGGGTTTGGGGCACGACGCGCACGTCATGTCCCGCTGCTTTCGTTGCCGTGCAAATGCAAATGAGGTGAGCTGGCGCGGCCTCAGCTGGCCGAGTCCGAACGCCGCCGAGTGTCTGCGGGGCGTCCTGCGGGCGTGCGAGAGGGACGGCGCGACCAAGCGCTCTTCGGATTCGGCCAACCCGTGCCAGGCCCAGCCAGGCCCCCCGGGCTAGGCACGCCGACGGCACGCCGGCACGCCCTCGCCTCGCCGGACTGTACTGCGCGGCGCGGGGGCGCGGGGATGGCGGCGTTGGCGGGGCAGATCGGCCAGGCCCGGCGGCGGCGGCGAGCAGCAGACTGATTCCGACACAGAGCTGTCGTCGCTCTGTCTCTCTCGCACCCTCAGGAGCGCCCCGGGAGTGCGAGGGAGAGACCTCCCACTCGGAATCAGCCTGCAGGTGACGGAGGTGGCGCCGGTGGCCGCCGCCGCCGGCCCGCCGGCCGTCGCCATCCTGGTGGGGGAGACACACAAAACCGAGTGAATTTGAGTGTTCTTCCGCGACTCGTTTTGGCAGTGCCCGTGTGTCACCTCCTCGTTGCCGGCGCAGCGTTGCGTCCAGTTGCGACACTACAGAGAGCCGCGACCACGTGGCCGTCATGGCGGGGCCGCGGGACGCACGTGTGTCCTCGGCATGAGCGGCTCAAGTCTGATTCCCAACTGTGCTTGACTCTGGCAGGTATGGGGTGGGGCGTGCGGGTCGCGTGGTCCCGCCCACAAGGCCCTGGCCCTGGACGAAGTGCGCCAAGGGTGCCTCGTGCTGGGCGAGGCCACAAGAGGAGGGACTCCACTGACGCAGAGGGCGGCAGGGCGGCGGCGTCGATACCGCCGCCCTGACGGCGTCCTCGCCGCCCGCTTCTAAAAGGCTGAGATGAATGGCGGAGACGCCCCGAAGGGCGAAGGGTCAGCAGGCCGATGCCGAGCGGGGGTGGGAGCTAGCTCTGTCTCTCTCGCACCTGTGCGGGTAGGCCGAGTGCGAGAGAGACCTCCCAATCGGAGTCAGAATCACTCTCAAGGCCTGCCAGGCAGAGTGCGTGAGGATCCCCTTTAGACTGATTCAGAGAGTCGTTTTCGCCGCTCCGTCTCTCTCGCACTCGGGCGCCCCGTGTAGGTGCGAGAGAGACGGAGCGAGGGAAACAACGCTCGAAATCAGTCTGCTGCCCTTCGAGTCCAGAGCGGCGGCGCGACGCAGGGCGTTGGCGTCGGCACTCCAGGGGGTGGTGGAGGGGGTGGGGGTGGACACACAACTAGGGCGCCAAGTGGGCGCCACGGGAGCGGCCGAGCGACCTTGCGACTTCCATGTATCCCCGAACCACCCCTCCCCTTTTACCCCGCCCAGCAAGCGTCCCGTCCCTCGACCGCCGGCCTCCCGGAAGACTGCATACTGCCGTCTGATTCCGAACACTGCTTCGTCACTCTGTCTCTCTCGCACCCCTACGGACCGCCCCATGAGTGCGAGAGAGACAGAGCGACGAAAGCAGTGCTCGGAATCAGACGGCTGAACTGGATGATGCCGACGACGACGGGGTGGCCGACCCGTCTCTCTCGCACTCCTTCGCGGCATCGCGGCCCCGGCCTGGCCCGGCACGTGAGTGCGACAGAGAGAGAGAAAGCGCGGCCTTGCGGCCTTCCCATTCCATTCGGATAATTGAATTCGGAAGCGCGGCGCACGCGACGACGCGACGCGCAGCGCGCAGCAGGCCGAGAAGGCCTCGCTCGCTGTGCAGTGTGCACAGCGCGCTCGCCCGACTTTACTCCCAGGACACTGCCGCCATCGCCCGGCCACGTACCCGGCGAGAAACGCACAGTGGATTTGCCACAAGACCGGCGCCGGCCGCCAAAACTCTAGACGCGTTTTGAGCTCCAGAGTCGCTAAACGGGACTCGCACCGAACGTGTGACCCCACCAATGGATTCCTCGTTCGGAGAGCAATCCATTGGTGGGGTCACACGTTCGGTTCGAGTCCCATTGAGCGACTCTAGCGCTAATAACGCGTCTGGAATTTTGCGGCCGCCAGCGTCGGTCTTCTCGCCCACTGTGCAACGGGTAAAGCTGAGCCACGAGGACGGCACGTGCTCTTGGATCGGATCGCATCGCGGATCGACCCGTCGCGACCCCGGCCACCTACAGGTGTACCAAAGGAGCCCTTGTCGCGAAGAGAAAGAAGTTCTAACAGAAACGGGAGAAATATACATTGCGGATGGAGCTCCAGACCTCATCCGCTGCGTACATTTCTCGTAGAAACTGTCATGTCTGAGTCCGTTGGTGGTGCGTTGCCCATATATTAATGTGGTTACAAAATTTGGGCTGCTCACGTGGTCCGGCTGCGACGCGGGCTGCGACGCGGGCTGCGACGCGGGCTGCGACGCGGCTGACGCGGGCTGCGACGCGGGCTGAGGTGCCGCTACGTTGGGGGGGCGCTGCTCTTGGGCTGGAACTGCACCAGCACCACGAGGTACGTCGTCGTGGTGGCGGCCACCTGCGGCACAGGAGGATGAAAAGGATGAGCGGCCTGTCGCTCTGTCTCTCTCGCACCCTCACGGCTTGCCCAGGGAGTGCGACAGAGACAGAGCGACGACAGCGATGTGCGGAATCACTCGGCAGGGCGTCATGCCGGTGGAAGCGGGACGGCGTCGGCCTCGGCCCGGACTACATTTTGTCATTTCGTCCACGCGCCTCGTCCCGTCGCCGCAGACTGATTCCGAGAGTCGTTTTCGTGGCTCTGTCTCTCTCGCACTCATGAGGCGTCCGGCTATGTGCGAGAGAGACAGAGCGACGGAAACGGCTCTCGGAATCCGTCTGCAGATGCCCGGCGCACGGCGGCGCCCTTTTTGGAATAAGCATTTTGGTCATTCCCAACGCGGCTGGGCCGCCTTGCGGACCAGGACATTCATTCCGAACAGAACCTTCGTCGCTCTGTCTCTCTCGCACTCATGGCGTGGCCCGCAGGGGTGCGAGAGAGACAGAGCGACGAAACGACCCTGCGGACTGAGGCGGCTGAGACACGAGGACACGACACTGGGAGGACGCGCAGCTCGGCACCCTGAGTAACCGAGGCACAGTGGGCCAGAGAACCGGTGGAGGCGGTCAAAGTTCCGGACGCTTTTTGAGCTCCAGAGTCGCTAAATGGGACTCGAACCGATCGTGTGACCCCACCAATGGATTGCTCTCCGAACGAGGAATCCATTGGTGGGGTCACACGTTCCGTTCGAGTCCCGTTTAGCGACTCTGGAGCTCAAAACGCGTCTAGAGTTTTGGCCGCCTCCACCGGTCTTCTGGCCCACTGTGCGAGGAACGCAGACGCACTAACGCCCCGGCCGCTCGGCCGGACGCGCAACTCTGGTTTCAGTTTGAGCGGCCCGACGCGCGTCGTCATCGCCATCCTAGACGGTGTTCACTTCACGGCCGAGCGGAAACGGCGCGAAATGCTGTGCCTGTGGCGATAAGGCAGCACAGTGCGGACGGCTGCAGACTCATTCCGAGGGTCGTTTTCGTCGCGCTGTCTCTCTCGCACTCACGGGGCGTCCCGCATGGCTGCGAGAGAGGCAGAGCGACGAAAACGACTCTCGGAATGAGTCTGCTGTGGCGGAGGCCGGCAAGCCCGCGATGCAGAATCACAGAGGGCGCTGAGCTGAACCTCTTTTAAACGACAAAGGCCTCCTCCACCACTGTTCCGCCGAGAGCGTCACTTCTCCCCGGGAACATTTTTCTGCCAAAAGTATTTCTTCTGTCCGACAGCACGGGGCGCATTCACCCCCAGTATCTGGGACGGCGGTCCGTCTTTAGACGTGACTGACACACTGACTGCGGCATGCGACAGCTTAATTTGAACGACCCGAGCACGGAGCATGTGAATTCTAACGACTGCAGTTAACGAGAACAAATATAGCGCCGGATGATTAACCAAATGAGATTTCCGCGAAGTTGGCTCTCTCTGAGCGCGTGGCCATGCCGGCTCCGCGTAGCGATAACTTCACATTTCCTCCGGGGCAGCTGCCCACAAAAAATGTAACGCGGCCGTATAGTACCGCGGTTACACTGGAGAGCCTATTCCCATGACGTTATGCGGCGCGCATGATTGCGGCCAGCAGGCAGAGCGACGAACCACCGCGCCGCACAGTGGGCCAGAAGACCGGTGAGGCGGCCATAATTCTAAGCGCGTTTTGAGCTCCAGAGTCGCTAAATGGGACTCGAACAGAACGTTTGACCCCACCAATGGACGGCTCTCCGAACGAGGAATCCATTGGTGGGGTCACACGTTCGCTTCGAGCCCTGTTCAGCGACTCTGGAGCTCAAAACGCGTCTAGAATTTTTGCCGCCTCGCCGGTCTTCTGGCCCACTGTGCGCCGAGCCGCACCAGCCGCAGCCACATTCCGGCCCGCCATTGTACGTCGTGGTGTAGCAGTGTAGCTACCGCCAGCAGCAGGTCGTAGTTGAGCGTGAACATGGAGCACGTGTGCAGCTCGGCGCGCAGCGCGCGCACCTGGCGCCGGAACAGCTGCAGCTGCGGGCAGGCAACGGCCAATGTAAGAAGCAGACTGATTCCGAGAGTCGCTTCCGTCGCTCTGTCTCTCTCGCACCTACACGGGACGCGCCGTGAGTGCGAGAGAGACAGCGGCGGAAATGAATCTCGGAATCCGTATGCAGTGGCACCATCTCGGTGACCACGCCGGCGGTGTTCGACATCGGCGCGTGCTCACCTGTTGCGTGGACGCGTGGTCCCAGGACGAGGGGTCCACCAGACACACCAGCTGCATCAGCACCTGATCCTGGTGGAAAGGGCTCCGCTTTAAAACGTGCAAAGTTCGAGGGACGCGGCCGCCTGACGACTCCGCGACGCTGCCCCGCCGACAGCGCTGCGTGACGGGACGGCCTGCCCGCCAGGCGCCATGGCCCCTTAGGGCGGGGCGGGGTAGGCAGTCCCGTGGAGCGGCGCTGTCGCCGGGACAGCATCGCGGAGTCGTCAGGCGGCCGCGTCCCACAGTGGGCCAGAAGACCGGTAAATTCCGGACGCGTTTTGAGCTCCAGGGTCGCTAAATCGGACTCGAACCGAACTTGTGACCCCTACCGATGGATTGCTCTCCGAACAACGCATCCAACGGTGGGGTCACACGTTCGGTTGCGCCGAATTCACCGTAGCACAGCTCGAAATTTCATCGGAAGGCATTTAGAGTGTACCTGCTGCAGGACCTTCTCGCTGCGGTACACGACGACGAACAGGCGGTAGGCCAGGAAGCAGACCTCGATGGCCCAGAAGGGCAGCTTGACGGCGTCCCCCGGCACCTGGGACTGCACGGCGCCCACCAGCGCGAAGGCGTCCGTGATGAGCTGGATGCGCGTCTGCACCAGCTTGCACAGCAGTTGCGGCCCGAAGTACTCCGTGAGGTCCTCCACCTGCTGGAAGACGCGCTGGTGCAGCACGCGGAGCCGCGACAGCAGGGCGTGCCGCGAGGGCCCTGGTGGCCCCGTCTTCTGGTGGTCCTTCTGGTGGTCCTTCTGGCCCTGGCCGGCCCCCCACGCCACCTTGCTGGCCCAGGGGATCACCACGACGGGAGGCTCGGTGGCGTCGTCCGGCCCGCCGCCCGTCTCGGCCAGCGCCACGCCCAGGGGGCCGCCGAGGGGGCCGCCGAGAGGGCCGTCCATCAGGGACTCGGGCTGCAAGCGGAGGAGGGCGTCGTGGAGGCGGTTCGGGCGGCACAGCGGTCTGTCTCTGTCGCTCTCATGGATGCGAGAGAGACAGAGCTGTGGACTGATAGTTCCCGTCGCTCTGTCTCTCTCGCACCCATACGGTACGCCCCATGAGTGCGACAGAGACAGAGCGACGGAAACGACTGTCGGAATCAGTCTGCCGGCACCTGGTCGCTGGGGAAGAAGCCGCGGGACATGTTCCGGAAGCAGATGGTGATGCTGCGGTAGGCTCGCTGCAGCAGCAGGCAGCTCAGCAGATACTGGCTCTCGATGGCCAGCGGCACGAGGCGCACCGCCATGATGGCCGCCGTCACGTACCACTCCATCTTGGTCTCCTTGGTGTACGTGTACATCAGGTGGGCCACCACGCCCATGCCCATGTTGAACCACACCAGCAGGAAGAAGGCCCAGCTCTCCAGCGGCCGGCAGTGCCTAGACAGTCAAGGGTTAAAAGTGAGACGAACAGTTGCAATCCTTGCAGTACTTTGTCGCTCTGTGACTCTCGCACCCCTGGAACGCCGCCAGGGAGTGCGAGAGAGACAGAGCGACGAGAGTGCTGAATGGAGCAAGCCTGCACACAGTGGGCCAGAAAACCGGTGGAGGCAGCCAAAACTCTTGACGCGTTTTGAGCTCCAGAGTCGCAAACAGGACTCGAACCAAACGTGTGACCCCACCAATGGATTCCTCGTTCGGAGAGCAGTCCATTGGTGGGGTCACACGCTCGGTTCGAGTCCTGTTTAGCGACTCTGGAGCTCCAAACGCGTCTGGAGTTTTGGCCGCCTCCACCGGTCTTCTGGCCCAATGTGCTGCAGTGGGTGTTGGAAGTCGTGGCGCCACTCGGCGCGCAAGCGCAAGAAGACAGGGGAGCCTACCGCGACGTGGACGGCGGCGACCGGTTCAGGGCGTCCAGCTCGGCCAGGGTGGTGTGCGCGGTGCGCCACGAGACGGCCATGCTCCGCGCGCTCACCAACGAGTACCACGTGCAGAGCAGCGCGATCACCGTGTTGAGCAGCATGGGCACCTGCAGCGCCGGGGCGGGCTCGTTCAGACAAACGTCGGCGACCACGCGCCAGCCACAGTGGGCCAGAAGACCGGTGGAGGCGGCCAAAACTCTAGACGCGTTTTGAGCTCCAGAGTCGCTGAATGGGACTCAACCCGAGTGTGTGACCCCACCAATGGATTCCTCGTCCGGAGAGCAATCCATTGGTGGGGTCACACATTCGTTTCGAGTCCCATTTAGCGACTCTGGAGCTCAAAACGCGTCTAGAGTTTTGGCCGCCTCCACCGGTCTTCTGGCCCACTGTGCAGGGACGAGTCTTTGGACCAGCCTGCTGCCGTACCTCGTACACGTAGTTGCTGAGGTCGGTGCTGGTCTTGATCACGACCTTCCTGAACTCGTCGGTCTGGTAGTACGTGGCGTAGGCGGAGCAGACGGCCATGGCGAGGCAGAAGGGCAGCCAGGGCAGCGACACCTTGAGCCAGGTGTCCTTGTCGGCGGCGGGGTTCTCCCTGGGCACGTACCGCAGCGGCAGCAGCCCCAGCAGCCGCGACACGCAGTAGCCCGGCACCAGCAGGAAGGGGATGCCGCCGGCACCTCCACGGCCTGCTTCGCGTCGGCCGGGATCGGTGTCCGGCGGCAGCGGCGCGCCGTCCCAGCGCCGCGGGCGCTGGAATCCACCACAAGCCACGCCATGAGCGTTCGGCGATACTCCGCGCCTCGGTGGCGCTTTTTTCACGCGGGGTATTGGCAGAGTGATTTCAGTGGCGCGGCGAGCAATCAGCAACGATAGGGAATACCAGGCCGCGCGCCGCGCGCGACGAGGTGTTGACCCACTGGACAAGATCGCGGTGCTCGCGGCTCGGGGTAAGACCGGTATTAGCAAGTCATTTATTTTTATGACCGATCTGATAACACTATCAGTCACAAACGGGGCACCCCTGCGGTTCAGGCAGGGTTTAGACTGATTACCTGATTCCAGACTTTGTTGTTGCCCCTGCGCTCCCAGGAGTCCCGGCCCCACGAGCCCTGGCCTGGTCCCCATCGCGGAGGTGACGCACCCATGGTCCTGGACTGCGGGGGTCGCCGCCGCTCCCCCGCGCGAAGCGCCATGGCGGCCGTCAGCCAGGTGAGCGGACCTGGTGACCGCGTGGTGGTCGACGGCCAGGTGCTCGGGCTTGGTGACCGCGTGGTGGTCGACGGCCAAGTGCACGGGCCTGGTGACCGCGTGGCGGTTGACGGCCAGGTGCACGGGCCTGGTGACCCGCGAGACCCCTCCTTGAGGCGGTCAGGCGCCGACTGCTCCGGGCGGAGGCCGGTGGCGAGCACGGCGCGGGGGCGGCTGCGGGCCCATTCCGAACAGTGTTTTCGTCGCTCTGTCTCTCTCGCTCTCGCGGGGCGCAACGTGACGGTGCGAGAGAGACGGTGCGTGGAAAGTGCTGTTCGGAGACCGCACGCTGCACGGCTCGTTAGACGCCGTGGGCAAACAGAGGTATTTGGACAAGCCCTCCGCGACGCCCTGACCCACGAGGGCCACAAGGGCTGCCCTGCCCCGCCCGGCGTCTCGCAAGTGGAGCAAGGCCAGAAGGGCGACGCGAAGGGCGACGATTGATGATGGGCTGCACGCCGCTTTGGAACAGTCGTTGTCTCTGTCACACCCATGTGGTGTCCCGAGGAGGTGCGACAGAGAGAGACAGAGTGACGAATCGCCTCTCTGGAATCGCTGGGCTCCTGGAAGACTGCCCAAGGACGCGGCGTGGGTCAAGGTCACTGGCAGTCAACCCTTTGCCGTTGCCTGGCTTGTTTGGTTGAAGGCGCTCCTTCCCAACACCTTTGGCATGCGGGCAGGCCTCTCCACTTTTTCAATATACGGGCAGACAGAAAAGATAAGCAGAGTTCGCTTGATGTAAGGCACGTTTACTGCTCAATCATAAAAACAAATCTTACAGATGTTCACACACAACTATCACATACATTTGTTTAGTTCCACAAATCAGTCAAGAGAGAAAACAAACAAAACTGCCCTTCAGCTTTGTATTAAATCCTAAGGTCTTCTGGTACTTTCGAAGGCCCTAAGATCCTGAAGCAACTTGTCAACATAATTGTTAAAAATTAATAACAGCCTCATATGCCACTTTGATCCCAGCTTTGACAATTGTGGCTATAATAATAAAAATACCCACTATGTAACATGCAGCACACAAGGAACTCAAAACCCAGGTGTAACAGACCTACACACAGTCTCAAATGCACAAAACCAATCAGGTACTTTGTTGATTCTTACGAACTGTAACTATGAAAAATAAATGGTTTGTTTCTGTCCCAATGAAGAGTAAAAGCAGCTGCACAGATTGTCAATAAAACCAACTCCTCCTTGAGAAAACTGAGGCAATGAAAAAGAAGCAGCTCATTGAGGAGAAAACTTAGTCAAAATGATGAGGTAGGAGAAAGAGACACAAGTACACATAACAGTTTCTTTGCAAAGAAACATGATGAAATCTTACCACACAAATCGGCTCTTCAAAATTCACATGATAAAGACAAGATCAACAAGAGTAATAATAAGATAAGATATACATGTGACAAAACCACTGTACAGTTCTGAGGTTCTAAGCAAAACTTGTTAATTAACTAGCGCAATAAAACAGATTGCCTCCAAATTTAATGACTTCCTTCTCCATTTTCTTTGGTCTTGTTGGCATCATTTAAATCTTGCCTCTCACTGTTCATTTCAACATCACTTTCATACTCCTCTTCATCTTCCATTTCATCATCATCTTCTCCCTCCTCCTCATCAAACTCTTCATCCTCAGCCTCTTCTGACTGTTCAATAAACTTTCTGATTACAATGCACTTGGTCATATGACAGCTGCAAGGCGTGGGATGCTTTTCTTCTTCGGGATCTAACAGGGTTAATTCTATATTGTAATGGCGAACAGCTTCTGGATCTCGAGTCATGGTGAGTTCCCACGCCAAGGGTTCAGCTTCTTCCACAGTCCGTTCTTCTGGAAGAACTATTGCTGTTTGTTTCCAGTGGGTGGAGGGCGCAGAGGGAGCCGTGGACAACACTAGACCTGATGGAAACCGCACTGTGAACCAAACACATACACCCTGGTATCTAAAACAGAAAGCAAAGCACAAAATTTACAGTTTAAAAATAAAAATTGAATCAAGAATGAGTAAACAAGAATAAATGAATAGAAATAGTCACCTTCCACCACTATTTGCAGCTACAACATGCTTTACACTGATCTTTTCCAAGTCAGCCAAACAAACGGTCGCAAGATTTATACTCTTCACTAGATTTCCTGCTCCAAGAAGATCCTCTGGATCAATCGTCATCACCTCAGGACTGCTTGCTTTTTTTTTACGCCACGCTTTACCAACACACTGCATTGAGACCTTACAAAGATGAAATAAAAATGGTTATTTAAAATACAAAAAAAAAAAAAAAAGGAATCCTGAGACCAACATTAAATTAGATAACCACTTACTCCTTGAACATCCTCCCAGAAATCATACAATGACGGAAGGCAGCATGGAGCAGCCCATATATCAGCTTTGTCAGGGAACATCAACCCTCCTTCCTTCAATAAGCGGTCCCTAGCATTCAAGACAGAGTCCAGCATTCCTTCATGCAGAAGGTAGAAGCCCATCCATTCAGAGACTAAAACATCAGCCTTCTGCCCATCAGGAAGCTCTACATCCTCAACACGACTTTGGATAACCTACAGCAGAAAGAGAAAATGAGTTGTAATACAGACAATAACTTATTATAAATAACCTGAATTTTTATTTCAATTTTTTCAAAACAAGACTCGTATCTAACTAACCTCTATCTGGTCTGTTAATTTGTTTTCCTTGACAACTTCTTTCATGAGTTCAGCTAAATTGCTAGCTTCAATAGCATAAACTTTCTTAGCGCCAGCCTGAGCACAAAATATTGACAGGATACCTGTGAAATAAAAATATATTTTTGTCAAAATAATCACGACACATAAATTAGTTAAGACATAAATTGATTTCACTTCAACCATACCTGTGCCAGCACCGACGTCGACAACGATTTTGTCTTTGAACATTGCTTTGTTTGCATTGATAGCATGTCGATAGGCTTCAGTTCGAGGCTGGTCATTCAACATAAGGTGATGAACCTGCAGAGTCAAATGTGAGCCACTAAGTATATGTTTTTAACCATCGTCACTAACAAGAACGCCCAATAAAATGTTTTGACCTAAAATCAAATTAGGTACACAAATACCTAAATGCTGACAAGGTTAAAACATCTAGGACAGTAGTAAGGCTTACCTCCAGGTCCTCATAGCTTTGGAAGTAGTCCTTCGGCTTCTCGGCTTCAGAGGAAGTGTCTGCGCCGTTCATGGCTCCTGGAGGCACAGGGAGAAAGAGGTGAGTGAAAATGGAACCAAACGCGTAGCTCAAACTTCCAGGATATTTTCATGCATGACATCAATGATGTTCCACCATAACCTCTCGGCTTCACCGGCTGTGGACCCACTAACGCGCAACAGGTCGCCGCCAAGAGCTTATGGCGCGGCACCTCGTTGGCTTCGACTTACCGTGTGTCTCCAAGAGCGAGTAGAGCAACGAGTTTGCCCTCTGTGCGGGCGATGAGGCTCCAGACGGGTCAGACGTGTGCGTGTACCTACAAATGTTTTGATAAAAGTGCGACAAAAGAAAGAGAGAAAGCGTCTGGTCTGGCGAGCAGGGCTACCAACTGTCCGAACAGGAATGAAATGCAGGTGTGAAAAGAGAAAGGCCGCCATGCTTGGCCTGGATCAAATCACTGTCCTGTGAACGAAAACCGCTTCCATCATATGGGGATGGTCACTGTATTGAAACTAAGACTGGACTGGAATCATCCACTTGAACTGAGCGCCAGCGCTCGGCGCCCGGTGGGTAGGCAACCCAACAGACACCACTGCACGTTGGGTTGCGTCGCATCGCCGGACGGCGTCCGGACGTCGGTGAAATGGCATCGCATTTCTCACAGGGAATGACCCGATCTGCAAACGAAACCAGCCCTACCAAGACTCAGCCTGGTTGGAACACAAACCCGAGGCCGGACTATGTGCCAAGTAGGGGGACAGAAATCGAAGACCCGCTTGGGACGGGGCGGAAATCGCAGCCCCCTGGCAGGGAAAAAAAAAATCGAAGCCGCATAGCGGATCTAGGCCCGGTCCGAGGGGGGAAAATGAGCACATTTTGCTTACTTGGAGAGACTAAGTGTGTTTTTCTGCCTGCCTCTCGGCAACCTAGGGGCAATGTGTGTGTGCTGGTGGTGGTTAAAAGGGGGGGGGCGTCCTTTTACCCTCCACTGGAACCGCACCTGAACAGTGCACCGCCCCACCACCACTATGTGTCTTTCGGGCCCCAACGAGACGTCCCACGAGTGCGAGAGAGACGGTTGGGAGTTGAGGATGCCGCTGCCCAGAGCCGCTGCCGACCGCTGCCAGTACTTTGGTCCAGAGAGTCGTTTCCGTCGCTCTGTCTCTCTCGCACCTGTGCGGCCCGCCCCGTGAGTGCGAGAGAGACAGAGCGACGAGGACGACTCTCGGAGTGAGTGTGCTGCCGGTGCCACCGTTCTAATTCCCTGTCGCGCCGTCGCCGTGTCCACGCGGTAATTGATGGCGCTGGACACGCCGTCCGAGATCCTGGAGATGCTGCCGACCGACCGTCTCTCTCGCACTCCCAGACTGCCACGGGGACGCCCGGCGGGTGCGAGAGAGACGGAGCGCCGGGGCGCTGTTCAGTTTTCAGCCTGCAGGCCGACGAGGACGAGGCCCTGTCCGGGGCCCTGTCCGGGGCCCTGTCCGGGGCCCTGTCCGGGCCCTGCGGGTATCCGGAGCACCGCCGAGCCCCCCGCCCTGTGGGGCCATAATCCGGGCTCATGCCGAGCCCTCTCCGGCCCTTCGCGGTGCCCGCCCGGGGCGTCCGGGCCCTGTCCGGGGCCCTGTCCGGGGCCCTGTCCGGGGCCCTGTCCGGGGCCCTGTCCGGGGCCCTGTCCGAGGTGCGGGTATCAAGCACCGCCAGCGCCGCGCTGATGACTCAATAAATCCGACGGTTCTCATGCCAGCATCTCTCTCTCTCGCTCTCGCAGTGCCGCGGCGGCGAGGTTTTTATTGGACCGTTTGTCCGGGGCGGGAAGGGCCAAAAGTGTGGGGAAGGGAACGAACAAGGAAAGGGGGCGGCGTTTTTTTTCGGATTAATATATCTCTGCCTCATCCTGGGCGGAATGCGGAGAAGAGGGCCGTTGTGCTGCCGGACAGAGGGACGCTGTGGGACGCTGCACTGCTGCGGACCGATTCGCTCTGTCTCTCTCGCATCTGTGGGGGACGCCCCTTGAGTGCGAGAGAGACAGAGCGACGAAAACGACTCTCGGAATCAGTCTGCTGCTGACGCTGCCGGGGCGGAGGGGCGCGGACACGCCCTCGGGGACGTCCTCGCCGCGCCCTCGCCGCCAGGGTGATCCTCGGGGACGCGACGAAGGCACGAACCCCATTCCCACGGGCTCCCACTGGACCATCCCCCTCGCTCCAGACGGAACACGAAAGTCAATACGACGTCAAAGAGTGACATCAATGTGACAAATTCTGTCATGAAGCATTGCGCCTCTCGGCAGCAGCGTTCGGTGTTATTTTGACGTCTATAGACGTCTATAGACAGTATAGTTTCGACTGCTCCACCTTGGCCCTTCATACGAGAGATAAACACACACACACACACACACACACACACACACACCACGTGTCCTCTCCCTACAAAACCCTTCGTGGAGAAGATGCGCGTTCATCTCTCCACGCACGCACGGAAATTGGATCAATCGTGGCGACCCCATCCGCCCGCCTCGGAAGGCTGATTCCGAAACGGCGGCGTCGCCCTGTCTCTCTCCCTCTCTCTCTCTCTCTCTCTCTCTCTCTCTCTCTCTCTCTCTCTCTCTCTCTCTCTCTCTCTCCCTCTCTCTCGCTCTCGTGGGGGCGCAGCACGGCAGGGGTGCGAGAGGGACGGAGAGACGAGACCGCACTGTCCGGGAATCGGTCCGCCGCGACGCAACCGGAATGTGAATGTGATTGTGAGTGGCGCCGAGTCACGGCCATTGATTGCTTTGTGTTCCCGATTGCAGCATTGCTGCAGTCTCTGGAGGACACGCTCCCTCGGGACCAACGCGCACGTCCGCCGTGTCACGCACCGTGAGTTTTTCATACCGGAGAGAGAGAGAGAGAGAGAGAGAGAGAGAGAGAGAGAGAGAGAGAGAGAGAGAGAGAGAGAGAGAGAGAGAGAGAGAGAGAGAGAGAGACGGCGACGGATGGGGTACGCGCGTTTTGTATCCACGGCGCCACTCCTGCGGGGCCCCTCCTGCCCCCTCCCGCTCCCCTGCTACCTCCTCCCCATATCGAGGAGAAAACAAAGTCATCAACTGCGCAACAAAAAGCAAAGGCAAACGCCTCGTTATAAAGTGGCTTCCTGCTGGGGGGAGGGGGGGGGGCCTCACGTGACCGCCGCGCTCTGCAGGTGTTTGGAACAGGTCCGGGTCGGGCCGCGCGAGGGGAGGGGAGGGGGGGGGGAGGGAGGGGGAGGGCGACGCGCCTTTCAGGAGCAGGTGGAAGGGGAGCCGGCACTTATCACACCCAGATGAAGTAATCATAGCAAGGTGTGTGGAGGGGGAAGGGTCGATTTTATTCCTCCCTATCCCTCCAGAATGGCTGCTCGAACACTGCCCTACCCTGCGAAAAAAAAAACAAGAAAAACAACAAAACGAACAGAAGTATGCAAGCAAGCACACCGGACCGGCTGCAGTTTCACCTGATGATAGCCGAATCACTGCATGTCCAAACGTCAAAGCGTTTCTTAGTTTTTTTCCTTGAATTGAAATTTTTGTTTACAATTGGGGCATGTTCCCTTTGACACCCGATGGGTGCAGCGTCAACTGGGGCATTTTTCCTCTGACACTTGATGGGTAAGGCGTGCGCAGCACTCTGGCATTCCCTCGCCCTCTCAGTGCTCCCAGCGCTCTCAGTCCAGTTGGCGTTTAGTTTGGATAAGTTGTCGGTGTCCGGGCCGTCCTGGCTGTCCGGTCCGGAGTGCAGCAGGCTAATTCCGAGAGTCGTTGTCTCCGCTCTGTCTCTCTCGCACTCATGGGGCGGCCCGTATAGGTGCGAGAGAGGCGGAGCGAGGACATCGACTGTCGGAGTCAGTCCGGTGGTGGCAGGCGAGGCGGTATTGGGGAGGATGCGGCGTCGGCCGATAGATTAGGGAGTGAATCGAGTCCTTGTCTTCCTCTCGATCACCGTTTATATTGTTTGGCTGGACGGACGGGGGCCTCGGACCGTCTTAGTTTTTATCCCCTCGTGTTTCTTTAATGCAGAAGAATAACAAACAAACAAACAAACAAGGTGAAAAAGAGGTGGACTAGTAGGTGGACGGACAGTTGGCCGAAAAAAACCCGAGTCGCAGCGGACACGACTTTGTACACGTTTTGAGTTACTCAAAAAAGGACTCGAATCGAACACGTCTGTTGGGTTTTCCTTGCTTCTAGGAATCTGGTACCCCCGAGGGGTAACCCACTGTAAAATTTTGTGTGCAATGATTGTGAGAATGTGTTGGAATCTGCAAGATTTCTGGCGTCTTTGCTTCACATTGCCGCGGTTTTGTCGCAGGAATGTGGGTGGAATGTGTTCAAATTATGCGCAATGAATGTGGGACGTTGTTCGTTCACCCCTCGCCGTTACCTGTCTGGTATACTCTGAAGTGTTTGTTTCGAGTCGGGTTCACTTATTATATGGAGCACGGTACGTGCGCAGATGGCCGGGCGAACTAATCGGAGTCGGTCGAAGCTGCGTTGCGTGGCCCGTGCCAACCGTGCCAACCTGCAGGCCTGCCAACCTCAGGGACCGCAGCCTCAGGTGGCCTCAGGTTTCTCCGCAGGGCTTACCCACTGCGTCGCACGCCGTGGGAGCGACGGAGACAGAGAGTGGCTCGTGCGGTTTCTGGACGCAGCGGCGGCGGCTCCGCTGCGCCTTGAAGTGCCGCCCTGCGTGTCACTTTGCGTCCCGATCCAGTCCTGCTCCAGTCGTCGCTCTGTCTCTCCCGCACGCACGGGGCGTCACGGAGGGGTGCGAGAGAGACAGAGCGACCTGCTGGCGGCGCGGCCGCGGCTGGCGGTGCCTTTCACGTGCAATCTATCCGGCCTGGAGCCCCTGGAGCCGGACTGGAACCGAACCCCGGCATGCCCTGGTGGGGCTTAACCACGCGTGTGATGAACTCCATGCCCGACTCGTGCACACAGTGCCACAGCGCCACAGTGGCGTGGTCCATGTGCGGACGAAGGGGCGGGGCCGGCGGGGCCTTTGACGCGTCGGGCTCTGGTCCAGATCAAGCCTGCCTCTCAAAATCCGCTTCACCGCAATGAATGCCTGCAGCCTGTTTCGCTCACTGCTTTGGACGCCACTCGAGTGCGAGAGAGACAGAAGAGAAAGCAGTGAGCGGACTCAGCGAGGGCAACCACTCGAAAAATCCTGTGTCCCCTGGACCCCTTGAAATCTCTGGAAATCCGTATCCCCCAAAAGGAAAGAACAGGCAGACTTTAGGCGTAAAATTGGACGAAATCTTGCGAAATCCGACGAAATCTCTCGACTTAAGACCCCAAACATCGGACGTGGTTGCCCCCTCGTGACTCAGTCTGGTCCACTGGGTCCAGAGCGTCAACGCGCCGATTCCATGTCCAGAATGCGGTGCTCTATATAGTCCCGCAATCTCTGTCGGGCACAGCTTCATCGATTGTTTCTCACTGCGTCGAGATTCTGGGACGTCTTCATGTCCGTGTCCCACGCCGCGGGGGGCGGATGGCAGCCCCGTCAGCAGGCGCGGCGGCGCGGCGGCGCGGCCACCGACCGCTTGGGGGCGGGGTGGCGGCGGTGCCGGGGGTCCGGACATCCGGACGATTCCGAACTGCAGGAACTGCAGCGGCAAGCGAGGAGCCCGCCGCCGCCCGCCCCGCCGCCGCCCAGGTCGTCGCTGATGACGCACTTCGGGGCGGGCACACCGTGAGGGCCGGCGCCGGGGATGGCGTTTTTTGCCCTAACGCCCTCCGACCCGCAGCGCACGCACGCACGCGACGACGCGTCAATGCCGCAACCAGCACACTGATTCCGAGAGTCGTTTTCGTCGCCCTGTCTCGCTCGCACACTCATAAGGTGCGAGGGAGGCAGAACTATGAAAACGAGTGTCGGAATCAGTCTGCCCGGCTGCTGTGCACTGGCGCCTCTCCGTCGTCGTGGTCAACCCGGGTCCTCCCTGGCCGCCCCCACCGCCCCCACCGCCCCCACCGCCCCCACCGCGCTCCGCTGGCGAGATGGACCCTGGTGAGGTCCTCGACCGGCCTTGTGGAGGGGCAGGGGGGCAATGTTGGAGGAAAGGGAGCCGCTCTCCGTCCGTTCAAAACGACCGGCATGGGGGCCTGCAGGAGGCTGATCCCGCCAGTGCCGTAGATCTCCTCGAGTGCGAGAGAGACGCAGCGACGAGAGCACTGCTCTGTCTGCCGGCCTGCGGGAGGCCTACCACTCCGCGGGGTCATCACTTTTCCGCGGAAGGCCCCGCCAGCCCCGCCCGCATAGTTGGGCCGAACAGGCCATTTTGCCGCTCTGTCTCTCTCGCGGCCTTACGGGACGGCCCGTGAGTGCGAGAGAGACAGAGCGTCGGGCGCCCCTCCCCCTTTCCCTGCCCCCTCGCGTCCCCGTCGTCCCGGTCGTCACGAGCACCGCGACGGAGAGGGACGGGACGGCGACCAAGAGGAGTACTACGGTTTTGTCCGCCAGTTCCTGTCTCGCTGGGTGGTCCGGCCCGCCACGCCCCGCCACGCCCCGCCCTGCGCCGCGCCGCGCCTCGCCGGGATCTGGCCGGGCTGGGCACGGCGGCACGGCACGGCCTGCCCCTGTGCCGCTCTCCGCTCCGCGCGCTCTGGCCTTCCCCCGCCCCCGGCCGCCCCCGGCCGCCCCTGGCCACGCCCCCTGGACGTGCACCTTGTGCGTTATAGAGTGCCGAGTGCGATCCGCGCCGTGTCCAGCGTGTCCAGCGGACTGCTTCCGAGAGCCGCTCGCGTCGCTCTGTCTCTCTCGCACCTATACGGGACGCCCCATGAGTGCGAGAGAGACAGAGCGATGGAGAGGACTCTCGGAATCAGTCTGCAGCGTGTCCATACCGCATAGAGGCCGGCCCGGGGCCCATTACCATGGACATACCCGGCCAAACAGGATAATTGAAAATATGAAGGGAACAGAAATAAAAAGAAAGGAATCCGTGATTATACACTCGCGGCGCTTCGGAATGATGCAAGCTCGGTACAAACACAGACGCGAATGGCAAATGACGTAGCGGTCCCCTGCAGACTGGATCGTTTTCGTCGCTCTGTCCCTCTCGCACTCGCGGGGCGTCGCGTAGAAGTGCGAGAGAGACAGATCGACGAAAGGCTTTCGGAATCCGTCTGCTGGCGGTCCCTATGCAGGAATGTGGATTCGGGCGTGGGTGCGGCCTTCCCTTCCTGGCCTTCCAGGCTCCAAGGCCCAAGGCTAGGCCGCGGCCTCCGCCAGCCTCCGCGCCGCACTGCGTGCCTCGCGGCCCCGCGGCCCCGCGGTGCGCTTCGACGTGTGTGGCGGTCACGTAACAGCGCTGCAGCGGCTCCTTCCGAACTCGTCGCTCTGTCTCTCTCGCGCCGGGAGGGAACGCCCCACGCGTGCGAGAGAGACAGAGCGGTGAGTTCGGAGTCAGTCTGCGGCCCACGGCCCGGCTGTCACAACGGGTTCAAATCAGCATCGGCGACGCAGCCGCGCAGCCGCGCACTCGCAGACGGACTGGGCCCACCAGCAGGCCGATTCCGACCGTCGCACAGTGGGCCAGAAGACCGGTGGCGGCGGACAAAACTCTCGGCGCGTTTTGAGCTCCAGAGTCGCTAAATGGGACTCGAAACGAATGTGTAACCCCACCAATGGATTGCCCTCCGGAATCCATTGCCGGGGTCGCACACGCTCGGGTTGAGTCCCATTTAGCGACCCTGGAGCTCAAAACGCGTCTAGAGTTTTGGCCGCCTCCAACGGTCTTCTGGGCCACTGTTCGTCGCTCTGTCTCTCGCGGTCCAATAGGACAGTGACAGACAGACCTCTTCGAAATCAGCCCGCCAGCGGTAAGTAGTGCCTTGTGGTGTTCTTCCAGCTTCCACACTTCGGCCGGGTTCCCCGCTTCCGGCGGGCCGAAGGGGCCGAAGCATGGCGACGACAGGCAGGTGGAGGCCTCGCCGGGGCGACGGGTGCGACGACAGGCAGGGGCGCTCCTCCCCCGTTCGGCCGGGCAGTCGTCGACGCCGACGTGTCCTGACGGCGCCACCGACGCCGACGTGCGTCCTGGCGGAACCGTCGACGCGGACGTGTCCTGGCAGGGACCGTCGACGTATCCCGGCGGTCCTTCGCCATGACGACCGCCACCGCGAAGGATGCAGCCATTCATTCTGCTGCAGAATGGGGCCGTGCTGTCCGCATTCGATGCATTCGATGCCAGATCGGAATCTGGCCGATACTCTCACTCTCCTTCCTTCCTTGTTTTCTCCCGCGGGACTCTGACTCTCCCCGCCGGCCTCGGCCCGCCCCGCCCGGCCCCGCTCCCCGCGTGTCTCCGCCTCTCCCGGGTGGTCGCCGGCGCGGCCGGCCCGACCGCCGCGCGCACCGTGGGGCTGGGCCGGGGGCCTTACGCCGGCCTGGGCCCCGTAGAGGGCCCCGTAGAGGGCCCCGTAGAGGGCCCCGGAGCCTCGGCCAAGGGCGCCAAGGGCTCGGCCAGCCAGGGCTTGACGCCACGTCTGAATGAACACGGCCCGCACGGCCTCCCCGGCCTAACTCACCATTTCAAATGAGATGGCCGTGCAGCCTTGCAGCGCCGTGGGCAAGGCCGGCGAACCGGCAGGCAAGGCCGCAGGTGCAAAAGGAACTAAAAAAAGTGACCGAAAAGCAGGGCGGCCGTCATGCCGAACAGCCGCCATTATTTACCTTTCCCGGGCATCACAGTCACCACCATCATCAACGTCATCATCATCATCACCACCGACCCTCTGCAGGCAGACCGATTCCGAGAGGCCTCGCTCTGTCTCTCTCGCACTCACGGGGCGTCCCATATAAGTGCGAGAGAGACAGAGCGACGAAAACGACTCTCGGAATCAGTCCGCTGGGGTTGAAATTACTCAATTACCCGCCGTCAATCACCGCCTTGCGCAGCGCGGCAGCCTCGGCGGAGCGACGGGAAAGCCGCGGACGAATTTCGCGCCGGGATCGGAACACCGGCACACTCGCTGCCGGGACTTCTTTGAACCGATAAACATTTTCGGCTCTGGAGGGAGGGAGGGGGGACGACGAATGGAATAAGCGGAAACGGCCGTTTAACAATCAGTATCGCAAAATTTATTATTATAATTTTTTGTCTTCAATCGCACTCATACAACGTCCTCTCTCTAGATATTTGCAGTCTTTACACATTTCTACATGTATGTTTTACAAAATTAATCTTATGTACACCATCATCACATTATTTCTCGTATGTACAATTATTACAAGTCTCTCTCACTCCGTACATACATACACCCCCCCCCCCACACCACACACACACATACACACACGCACCATACACTATAAACGCGAATAGTACGGGTTTCGCGACCGGTTTCGAAACAGCACAAACACACTCACACAAAAATACCTCTGTGATTGTGATACATACACAGAACGGCAGTAGGGCAAACTACAGCTTTATAAAAACAATTACTATACATTTGATCACATTCTAGAACAAACAAAGACAAGTCACTTCTATCTTCAAAATTAGCACCATTTTCCATTTTTGTCACTGGGAATTTTTACAAATCACATAAAGTAAACAATCGCATTGGGTAACTGTTCGTTAAAATCGTCCACAACAATAATTTCAAAAATGAAACAACGTTTCATGCGTTTTGGAAAATAATACATTTTAAACAATGGATTATGTCTCGATGGCAGTTTGACTATCGACTAATCAGTCTGATCTGCCCACCAATGCACAAACCAGCGGGAAGACGTCTCAGTCTTGGCTTACAATCTCCTAGTCTCGCCTCGTTTTCTTTTATGCTACTTTATTTTTTACAGCTTTGTACACAGGTACGAACATATTAGAGTAAACGCTACACAACAGCAGCACCACCTATCACAATGGCCGACGGCCGTGCCGTTTCGAGCCGCCCTTCCCGCAGTGGCGCGCCGCGACCAGCGATTGGTCCATTGCATCTGAATTTCAGATAAGCCGCTGCGCCGCGCGTCTTTGGGCGGACCACACGCGTCTCGGCGGCGCGGGGGGCGGCGCGGGGGGCGGCGCGGGGGGCGGCGCGGGGGGCGGCGCGGGGGGCGGCAAGCCAACTGGAACGCGCGCTGCATTCGCGTGGCGTCGCGGCGCTGTCCGTCGAGGCCATAGTCCTGCCAGCCAGTGGAGCGTGTCGCGTCCCCGCGCCTGCACACCGATTCAGCTTCTGTCCCTCTCGCACCCCTTCGGAAAGTCCCTCGAGTGCGAGCGAGACAGAGAGCGCTGGCCGGCGCGGCCTGCCCGGCGGCCTGGGTGGCGGCGTCGGCGTCGCGGCGCGGACGGCTGTATGGAGGCGTGCACTGCTTGGAGGCGAGGCGCCCCGCGGTGGCGCGCTGCTCGCGCTGCTCCGCGTCGCGGCGGCGCTGCTGCTGGCGTCTCTTTGGTGGGGATGGGGATCGTGGCGCCGAGGCCACGCCGTCGTCACGGCGGTCACGACGCGCCCGCCGCGGCGGCCAGCACCGCGGCCGCGACCAGGGCGAGCAGCGGCCGCAGCGACGCCGCGCCGCCGCCGTCGCGCTTGGGCAGCAGCTCGTTGGTGTCCACGTCGCCGGGGAGCGCGTCGGGCGGCGGCCGCGGCGGCTCCTGGTGGAAGCACAGCCGGGCCATGTTGGCGCGGATGGCGGGGCAGTCGTAGTCCTCGCGGCCGTCGCACCAGCACGAGTCCAGCTTGGCGGCCTTCTCCTGCGGGCAGAGGAACAAGGCGGTCAGAGAGGGAGCAACAGAGGGCGTCTTCGTCGCTAAGTCTCTGACGGGGGCGACCCTTACAGGTGCCAGGGAGAGACAGCGACGAAAACGACTCTCGGAATCAGTCTGCAGAGCGCCACGGTGGGCACCGAGGGCACTCTGCTGCGCGCCTGCGTTGAAGTCTCCAGGCCGGAGACTTGGAGACCTCATGAAGCGTGCAGGGTGGGTCTGTCCTGTCCTAATTAAAACGTCATCGTCCCGAGGACGCGGAGAAAGCGCCGCCGAGTCGTTTCGTCGCTCTGTCTCTCTCGCACTCATGGGGCTCTCCGTAAGGGTGCGAGAGAGACAGAGCGACTGCCGTTGACGCGACGGCCCGACTAATGGCGAGCGGCATCCTTCAGAGACAACTGTCTCAGGAAATGACGCCGCCCTGCTGACTCTGGCCGATTCCGAAGAGCGGTGTCGTCGCTCTGTCTCTCTCGCACTCTGATGGGCGCCGCAGCGGTGCGAGAGAGACAGAGCGACGAAGCGGTGTTCGGAGTCGCGGTGTTCGGAGTCGCCGTGCACCCGGGTGGAGGTTCCAGGCAATGGACGCTTCTTGACGTCTCCGTTGAAGCAGCACATTGAGTTGTGGATGTCAAAGTTTACATGTCAAAATTTGGACTTTCTTCATGACAAAAGCTTTGACATGCTCAAAACAAGTCTTGTGACATGACTCAAAAAGTCTTGTGACATGACTCAAAAAGTCTTGTGACATGACTCAAAAAGTCTTGGAAAATGACTCAAAGTCTTGTAACATGACTCAAAAAGTCTTGTAAAATGACTCAAAAAGTCTTGTGACATGACTCAAAAATAGTCTTGTAAAATGACTCAAAGTCTTGTAAAGTGAGTCAAAAAGTCTTGTAAAGTGACTCAAAAAGTCTTGTAAAATGACTCAAAAAGTCTTGTAAAATGACTCAAAAAGTCTTGTAAAATGCGAGTCTGCTCACCTGCCGCCTGAGGATGGAGATGGAGTTCTTGCAGCGCTTGCTGCACCGGTGGCCCAGGAACATTTTCCGGCAGTGCAGGTGGTAGTAGTCCAGGGCCGTGGAACAGAGCGCGTCCGCGCCGCAGATGAGCTGCGCCACGCGGCACGACACTGCCGACTCGTTGCTGGTGGCGCGCACCACGGCGGGCCGGCACACCTCGACGCGCCGCTTGGTCTCCTCGCACAGCTCGTCCGCGCACTGGCACTGCAACAGGGGGGCGGGGAGCACGTCAGGCACACGGACATACAGCTCGCTGATTCCGAAAGTCGTTTTCGTCGCTCTGTCTCTCTCGCACTCATGGGGCGTCGTGGGTGCGAGGGAGACGGTGCGATGAGGGCGGCGGCGCTCTGCACGACGGCGGCGTGGAGTCGCGGCCCCTCCGGCACGCGCTGCGCGCGCCACGGACCACCTGCCACGCCGCGCCGCGGTCCGCCGCGTCGCACTTGGCGGCGTCCTCGAGGATGCTTGAGCAGGCTGCTGCATAGGCAAGGCGCCCGCCGCTCCCTTTCCGGGCCTCTGCAGACTGATTCCGAGAGTCGTTTTCGTCGCTCTGTCTCTCTCGCGCTCATGGGGTGTCCCTTGTAGGTGCGAGAGAGACAGAGCGACGAAGACGGCTCTCGGAATCAGTCTGCAGGGCGGCCAGGGCAGCCAGGCCAGCCCCGTTTCCGGCCGCGGACCTCACGACTCCCCATACGTCGGCGTCGTGGCCGCGACGTGGCCGCCGACGTCGTGCCGCGGCGTGGCGCGGCGGCGGCGCCTAAAGGTCGGCAGGGACCCAACCCCGCCCAGATAGATCCCCGTTCAAATGCCAGCCGCGCTGTGGTTTTCCCCGTGTCCGGCGCCAGAGGACCCCGTCGACGCCCCCACGCCGGCCTGCTCGGCCTGCCCACGGCACCTACACCGTGGCACTGCCTCACGGCGCACGCCGCGGCACGGCCAAAGCCATCAGGGTCATCATCCCGGCCCGCTTGATTAATCCCAGCCGTCGCTCTGTCTGTCTCTCTCGCATGGGTGCGACAGAAACGGAGCGACGGCCCCGGCCGGGCTCAGTGATCACGATTAGGAAGACGGCCGTGCGCGGCTGGGAGAGCGGCGCGAGGCAGCGGCACCGCGTCGCGTTTTCGACGTTTTTAATAAACGGGCACACGTCGCGTTGCCCGGCCACGTCCGGACCCTCGGCAGGCAGGCCAAGCCGCTGCCAAGTGACTCCGATGCACATCCGGCCTGCTGGCTCTGGATGGCTGGCTGGCTAGCCGGACGCGGGCTCCAATTTCAGGAATTATTCCTCGCTTCCAGTTCGATTTCACGCGCCAACGTCCCTATGCACTGTAAGTACTCATACACTGGTTATGCCCTTGTATTTTCCGGAGAGGCAGGGTGAAAAAGGGGGAGGGGACAAAAAACGTTAAAGAAGCTTGGCGTGGTAATGGCTCCGCCCCGCCCCGCCCCGCCCCGCCCCGCCCCGCCCCGGCCCCGCCCCGCCCCGCCCCGCCCCGCCCGCCGCCCGGCCGCTGGGGCCATGTGATTGAATCATTATCCAGGTATGCTGGCCGCGCTGGCGTCGGGGCGACGCAGCAATGCGCCTCTCCCCGTCTCTCTCAAGTGTAATAATATGTGACGAGCTCGGCAGGGGGAGGGGGAGGGAGAGAGAGAGAGAGAGAGAGAGAGAGAGAGAGAGAGAGAGAGAGAGAGAGAGAGAGAGAGAGAGAGAGAGAGAGAGAGAGAGAGAGAGGTACGCGCGTCGCAACCGCCAAACACACATCCGTCCATCCGCGAGTTCTCTCTCCAGCCAAGCTGAGTCGTCGCGCTCTGTCTCTCTCGCGGGACGCCCCCTGCGAGTGCGAGAGAGACAGAGCGACGAACTGTTCGAAACCGTTCTGCGGGGCCGCGCAGAGTCTTGTAGAGGAACGGGACAAACAATAATGCGTCGCTCCAGGACTCCAGGACCTCCAGGACGGCCTGCTGTTCTCCAGAACGCTTTCGCCCTCCAGGGCTGCCGTGCTCCAGCGGCCTGGAGCCGAATACGTCCGTATCCATGCTCGACGCCGTACATGGCCTGCTCCACTGCACTGGCGCACTTCTTGGCGTTGCCAGGCACTCAGGCACGCAGTGACAGCCCAGCCAGCCCCCCAGCACCCCAAGCCCCATGCCGCTCTCTCCCCTCCCCCAAGTTTCCTTCCAGTGGCCAAGGACTAACGACGGCAAAACCAACAACAACATTTGAAAGTTTTCGCCAAAAGCCCCCTCCCTCCAAAGTTCTCCCCCAGTGACCCAGGACTAACGACGGCGAAACCAACAACAACAACATTTGAAAGTTGGCGCCAAAATCCTCCTCCCGCCAGCCCCCGCCATTACACGTGTGTGCAGACCCAGGCAGGACCAGGCAGTGGCGTGGCGTTTGTCAGCACGTCCCTTCGCAATTTATCTTTGGCCCGAAGGAACACATGCGAGAGAAAGACGAGAGGGCTCCACGGCGGGCTAAAAAAAGGAGCAAGGACGCCCCTGAGGCTGAGAGAAGACAGGCCACGCCGGTCCCCGTATGGCGTGCTACGCGGTGCTACGCAAGAGCAGACGCAACGCCTGCACCGTCAAAAACAACCGTTTTGTTGTTTGTTTCGGCAGAAGAAGTGAACCACCCAACGCGTCCGGCCTCCAGAGGGTTGCAGCGAATCGATCAGAAAGGCTTGCGCTGCGGTGCGGCACCGTGCAGCAGTTGGCAGCATTCGCCACGCTCGGCCTCGGGCTCGGGCCGCGCGCGAGGCGTCTGGCGTGGTCTGGCGCCACCACACTGGAGAAGGGTGCGTCCCGGCTAGGCGGCCGTGCCCCGGCCATGTGGACAGCGTCAGTCTGCTCCCCGCCATGCACGCCCACAACGTCGTCGTGGACCTCCCGCCGTCCCTGGCGCCAGCCTCGCCCTCGCCAGTCTCGCCAGCCACTCGGACGACCTTCAGAAGACCGGCGCCGGCGGCCAAAACATTAGACGCGTTTTGAGCTCCAGAGTCGCTAAACAGGACTCGAACCGAGCGTGTGACCCCACCAATGGATGGCTCTCCGGACGAGGAATCCATCGGTGGCGATCGGTGGGGCCACACGTTCGGTACGAGTCCCATTTAGCTCAAAAACTGTTCGGGATTTTGGCCGCCGGCGCCGGTCTTCTGGCCCACTGTGAGTCGTCCCGTCGACGACGACCCCGCCGCCATCAACTAGAGGGTCCTGGCGGAAACGGTTCGAGACACCCTCAGCCACCAAGTGGACTACTCACCGTCATGAGGTCCTTGCCCTCGTCCGTGGAGGTGAGCGCGATGAGGGCTTGCTGGCAGGCCTCGGGGCAGTGGCCCGGCGGGCCGTGGTGCAGCGAGGAGCAGCCCACGATGTAGGCCTGCAGCGCGCGCCCGCAGCCCGTCCGGTACGCGCACTTGAGCCGTGCCTCCTCGCAGCTCGGCGGCCTCCTGGCGTCGCGGTTGCTGTCCAGCACGTCAAGCAGGGGGTGGCCCGGCGGCGGCGACCTCTCCGACGACCACTCCGACGACGGCGACCTGGGCCTGTCCGCCGGCGGCTGGCCGCCCGACAGCGCTGCCGCCAGCATGTCCGGCAGGGCCTTCGGCAGGGCCGCCGCGCCGGGCAGCGCGACAGCGATCATGGCGGCGGCGACGATGCAGGCCGTCAACCAAGGCGCCGAGTCCATCCTGGAGGAGAAGGAGAACGCAGGTTAGTTTTCGGCTGGGTAGCTCTGATAGTCAGCGAAACGGCCACAAGCCACAAGACCACAGCGACTAGACCGCGGACGGCCCAGGGCCTATACAAGGTCCTGGACCTCCCATAGCTGTCCATAGCCAACGAGCGAAACCCCAAGATTCATCTTGTGTGCGCGCGCGTGCGCGCGAGAGTGTAGCATGACGTCTCAACATTCATGGGACGGGACCCCCAGGGCGGGCTAGCTTTTCATTCGCCTGATTGTAAAGCGATTGAACACGTGGGGAGTGGGGAATGGAACCCGCGGACCGGCCATCATGGCGGACCCCAATCCAACGTTTTGATGGCGGCGCGGCACCGCGGCCCCCCAACGCGTGGGCGTCTCATCCTCGTCGTGGCGCAGCCGACTGATTCCGAGAGTTGTCGTCGTTCTGTCTCTCTCGCACTCATGCGGCGCTCCGTACGCGTTGCGAGAGAGACAGAGCGACGACAACGACTCTCGGAATCAGTCTGCTGAGCGTCGGAGCGTCGAGCGAGGTCGGCCAGTAAACCCTCACCGGCGTGATGGTGATGATGATGGCGGCGACGCCGTAAAGCCGTCGTGAACGGCGTGGTGGTAACGACGGCGAGGTGCCCGCCCTGGTGCCCACACGCCGACATCGCCGCCCACCTCGCCGAGCGTCGCGGCGGCGCGGCCGGCCGGCGCCTCGCGGTAGGCGAAGGCGTCCGCCGGCACGCACCACTGGCTCCGGGAGCCGCGCGGCGTCGAGGCACTGCGTCGCGGCGCTTTTCGCCGCGCGAGCGCCGCCGCGAGGCAGGCGAGGGAAGGGGCAGGACCACCGTGATGGCGCGCTGGCGGGGGCCTCGGCGCGGCGGGCTGGCTGGCGGGGGGCGGGGCGGGCGGGGCGGGCTGCCCGCACCGAAACACCGCGGCAGCGTTCTTGTAACCATCCAATCATAGACACTCCGGGCAGGCGAGGCACCGCCGTGCAGCCGCGGGGCGCGGGGCCTCGCGCGCCGCCTCGCCGCCACGCCGCCACGCCCCGCCGGGACCACCGGTGCTTCGTGGTTACGCCGAGCGCGGCTCCGCGGCACCGCGTCGTTGGCGGTAGTGGTGGTGGGGCCCGCGAGGACCGTGACGGCGGTGCCTGCCCGGATTGGCTCGACGTCGAGCCCCGCCGCCCCGCCGCCCCCCGGCCGGCCACGCCGCCATCGCGAATCCGCGGCCTGGCCGACCTGTCCGTCGTCCATGGCGTGACGCGTCGCGGACGGAGACGGACGAGGCGCCCTACAAGGCGAGGCGTGCCCTACCCGCGCCGTGCTGGCCGTGCTGCAGGCCCTTCACGGACGGGGCTGACGGACGGCGCGGGGGTTTCTCGCTCGGTCTCTCTCGCACCCCTTCGGGACGCCCCTCGAGTGCGAGAGAGACACGACGAAAGAGCGCTGTTCGAAATCGGAGCGCTGCCTGTCGCAGGCGTGGCGGCGCAGCGCTAGATCGTGACCCGCTCCGAAACTGCACCAAACGACACACGAAAAAAACAACTGCCCAATCGCTTCTGGAAAAGTCCGCAGAGTTACGGCAAACTAAAAGAAACGCAGCGGGCGTTGAACACCGGAGTTGGCCGGCGTACGCAAGCCGCGCCGCTGGCCTTTGGCCCTTAGTTTTTTGTTCGCATGCCAGAATGCTGCCGTGTTGTTTGTTCATCCCGTACCGCGCATTTGTTTCATCGTCATCAAGTTGCGCGCCCCCCGTGGGGCCCCTGGCCTGCCGGCCCCTGCTGGCCGCTCTGGCCCGGCCCGGCGGGTAGGGTCACGGCGACAGCGGCACCGGCCGGCGATGACGTCTGGATCACGGCGTCGGCTACCGGCGCACGCAGAGCGCGCAGGGGCAAGGGGGCCCCCTGTGGGGCCGAGCCTGGAGCCGGGCCAGCAGACCGATTCCGAGAGTCGTTTTCATCGCTCTGTCTCTCTCACACTCATGGGGTGCCCCGTCCCGGTGCGAGAGAGACAGAGCGACGAAAACGACCCTCGGAATCAGCCTGCTGGCTGCTGTTGTTCTGCCCCCCGGTTCCTGGAGTTCCATGGAGGGGTCGAGGGGCCGAAGACACCGCTGCCCCCGGGGCGTCCAAAACTTTTCCAGTCTCCAGGAGGCGTCTCCGCGTTCCATACCTTGCCCGGGCGATTTGTCCTTTTCCTCCACGGGTTTTGTTTGTGGAATCAACGTGTTGGACTCGCGTCGAGGGAGGGAACAGGGAGGGACGTATGACGTATAGAAGGTCGCCCGAGAGCATGGAGGTCCACGGGCAGGGAGCCTGGAGGCCTGGAGGCCATGAGGTCCATGATGATGTCCAGAGTAGATGCGGCTCGCGTTCGAGGCCCCGCGGGGTGGGGGGAGAAGGGGGGGACCACGGCCACACGCGCGGGCATCACATGTCAGCCGTCAAAGGGATCATGATGGGGCGGAGCAGGAGGGGGAGGGGGAAGGGGGCGGGCAGCAGGGCCTAATGGTAGGTAGCCGCCCAGCCTAAATACAGATGTTCCGTGGCCGCGAACGTTCAAACCAGAACTGGCTGCTTCCGTCCATTAATAACAATTACACACTCGCCGAAGGCCCGGAGGCAGGCCAGCGAGCGGCCCTGCTGCACTGTGGGCATCTAGTATTTCTGGTGGAATAAATCCAGTCTGTCCAAAACCACACTCGTCTCCATCTCCATCTCCACGGTCGCATCTAGGAAACGGTGTGCAGCTCCAGTCGCGAGGCTCGGTTGCTGGGCGGTGTGACCGGTACGTAACGTATCGGGCCATAACTTCCAAATCGGGCTCGGTCACTCCGAAAAGCCTTTATCCAGAAAGCAGGAACGGGAGACACCCCCACCAAGGACTGCGGGTGCGAGAGAGACGGGCCGACGGGTCCGCCAGGTGGCCAGGTAAGGTCCCGGCTGTAAATCTGTCCGCGTCTGTCCTTCCCGCGCGCAGGGCCGGGCCGTGCCGAGCCGCGCACTGCGTCGCGCTGCCGCGCTGCCGCCTTCCGAAGAAGGAAAGTCAAAAAGCCGATGTCATCCCCACGTCGCCGTGTCGTTGTCGCGTCCCCGACGACAACAAGGACAACGACAGCCGCGCGCACAAACAATATCGCTACAAATACGTCGGGAGAGACAGAGACACGGGGGCGCGGCGCCGTAAATCGCACGGCGGCAGACTGAGTCCGAGAGTCGTTTTCGTCGCTCTGTCTCTCTCGCACCCCTACGGAACGCCCCGTGAGTGCGACAGAGGCAGAGCGACGGAAGGGTCAAAAAGAGCAGCGGGGACACGACGGCCAGGACCAGGAGCGCTAATTGGTGCGTTCTCATGGAGAGCATGCATGGAGCCGGCGGGGCTATGCACTGTGCAGGCCGCGCAGGCTGTGCGCCACATGTGCGGGCACACTGTGGCACAATCCCACCGCAGCTCCACAGCGATGCGGGCGGGGCAGATGTTCCCTCCCCTTCCCTCCCCTTCCACCACGCAACAAGTGCGACTCGGCGGCGCCACCCCCTTGGCCATGGAGTACGTACACTATACTCTATGCTTTGGCCGCAGCGAGAAAATTATTGAGGAGATAAGCCCAACTTGTATGAACCTCACTTGAGTTTGTTTGCCGGCAGCGTGTGGGTGTGTGTTTGCACTGCCCCTGTGTGTCTGTGTGTGTGTGCGTGTGTTTACCCCCTCCCCCGCGCCGGCGTGGTGCCGTTGTAGGCTTTGGCGAGAACAATGTGTAAACACAGCCGACAAATGATGAGCTACTTATGTCTTCTTCTTCATCCCCGTGCAAACAAGTGTAACGATACACTTGGCCTGGCTGGGCTGCCGGCGCGCCGACGGACATAGGGCACTTCAGTTTTTAGCCGTTTTTGCATCCGCTAATGCGTACGAAGTACAAATGAGTGGAGGGAGACACCTGCAGGCATTGCAGTGAAAGTCGCGAATAAAAAGTTGGTTCATTGGTATGTCCATGGTCTACACCACGACGGTGAAAATAGTTTCTGCTTTTCCCAGGAACCCTATGGTAAAGACATAGGCGACTTGCAGGGAGTTCCTGCAAAATCCTGGAATCGTTTTTGCTGTGCAAACTGGAAGGAACGAGGAATCGACAGATGAGATAGATTCAGTAGGCTGCTGACCTCCGTCCCTGCGGCTCCGCGGCTCGAATTGAAACCCCAGCAGACTGATTCCGAGGGTCGTTTTCGTCGCTCTGTCTCTCTCGCACTCACGGGGCGTCCAGTCACAAGGTGCGAGTGTCTCAGAGCGACGAAAACGACTCACGGAATCAGTCTGCAGCCCCTGCCAGCAGCAGCACCCTCCCTCCCCCACACTCCCAATCTCGCGCCCATAATCCTTTCATCGAAGCTACTACACTTTTTGTTCGTGTACCTGCCGTCATCTGCCCGGCGGAGGCGGGCTGGCGGGCTCGAACGCGACTCCAAATTTGTATCGATTTCCCCCGTGCCAGCCACCGCCGCCTCCATTGGCCGCCACCGCACCGCGGCGTCTCAGACGGGGCGGCCGAGGGCTTCCCGGTCCAGATTCACGCTCCAGTGGAGGCTCAACGCTAACGTGACACGACGTTGATGACCAGCACGAGTCGTCGGGTCGGCTGGGGGAGGGGGGAGGGAGGGGGTCGTCCACCTGGACGCGGGGGTGGAACCAAGGTGAGGTGGGAGGGGGGAGCGGGGGTCGTCGACTTTGTCGTCCTCCTTTAGACTGTCACTTCTCCGGAGCGTCGTCTGCAGAGCGCATTGTGCTCGCAGTCTTTATTGGGGATGTAAAGGGAAAAGGCCAGCCAGGTAGGCAGGGGGAGGAGGAGGGGGGGGGGCGGCCTTTTGCGCGTACAACGGGAGTACCCGTGGGGAGTAC